GCAGACAGATGCGGAGTTGTCTGTACATGAGGCAGGGCATAATGGACAAGCATACAGATGCAGAGTTGTCTGTACAGGTTGTGACCTTACAACCTCTGAAGATGCTTGCCATAGATGGAAGTGAAACGTCAGGAGAGAATGCTTCTAGAATCATAGAATCATAGAATCAAAGAGTTGGAAGAGACCTCATGGGCCATCCAGTCCAACCCCCTGCCAAGAAGCAGGAATATTGCATTCAAATCACCCCTGACAGATGGCCATCCAGCCTCTGTTTAAAAGCTTCCAAACAAGGAGCCTCCACCACACTCCGGGGCAGAGAGTTCCCTGCTGAACGGCTCTCACAGTCAGGAAGTTCTTCCCAATGTTCAGATGGAATCTCCTCTCTTGTAGTTTGAAGCCATTGTTCTGCGTCCTAGTCTCCAAGGAAGCAGAAAACAAGCTTGCTCCCTCCTCCCTGTGGCTTCCTCTCACATATTTATACATGGCTATCATATCTCCTCTCAGCCTTCTCTTCTTCAGGCTAAACATGCCCAGCTCCTTAAGCCGCTCCTCATAGGGCTTGTTCTCCAGACCCTTGATCATTTTATTCGCTCTCCTCTGGACACATTCCAGCTTGTCAATATCTCTCTTGAATTGTGGTGCCCAGAATTGGACACAATATTCCAGGTGTGGTCTAACCAAAGCGGAATAGAGGGGTAGCAATACTTCCCTAGATCTAGACACTATGCTCCTATTGATGCAGGCCAAAATCCCATTGGCTTTTTTTGCCGCCACATCACATTGTTGGCTCATGTTTAACTTGTTGTCCACGAGGACTCCAAGATCTTTTTCACACGTACTGCTCTCGAGCCAGACGTCACCCATTCTGTATCTTTGCATTTCATTTTTTCTGCCAAAGTGGAGTATCTTGCATTTGTCAGGAGTCCACTTTGGCAGAAAAAAATGAAATGCAAAGATACAGAATGGGTGAAGCCTGGCTCGAGAGCAGTACGTGTAGAACATGGCCATATAGCCCAAAAAACCTACAACAACCCAGTGATTCAGCCATGAAAGTCTTCAACAATGTACTGAAACATTGCTATCATGTCCGCCCTTGACCTTCTCTTCTCCAGGCTAAACATCTCTATCTCTCTCAACTGCTCCTCACAGGTATTTGTGGTTTTCCAGACCTTTGACTATTTTGGTCACATTCCTCTTTCTCTTTGGACTCTTGGAGGGCTAGGCAGAAATAAGCAAGGGCGGAAGAAAAGCAAACACAACATGGACACCATCCAAGGGCAAGAACATCAGCAACAGTTTGAGCGCACAGAAGCAGAAAACGTCCCCATCACAGATGTCATGGGAACAATGGCGAGGAGAGATGGAATGATCCATTGGAGATGCAGCAATAAATGAGCCACTCCGTTACGGCTGTCGAATGCGGAGAGGTGGGATGATCCATTTCAGGTATAGGTTTGCTAAAGCGCATTTTTGCTAACATGCACAACAAGCTTGGGAAGGGCACGACCCATCCACAACTGCCTTGTCGGAGATGCAAATGGGAACCAAAGAGCTACGAGGCTGAAAACACAAAACGATCCTGAATAGTCCGGCTTCTTACGCACAGCGGAGGAACGCAGGGGGGGAAAGGCGTTTGCCAAGGTGTTCCTATCCCTCCTGGAGCCTCTACCATGGAGTCAGGAGCAAGGACAAGGGAAAGAGAAGGAAAAGAAAAGAGGAATCAGTCAAGGAGGAAGGATGGTCTATGGGAATACTCCATGTTGGGAGTCCCAGGCAGAGAAAGCAGCAGATTCTCCAGTTTCTGAACCTCAAAGATTGGCACTTACATACAAGACCTAAGAGCAAAGGACAGAAGGGAAAAAATTCAACCAAAAGTCAACAACAAAGTGTTGTCACCGAAGAAGCTAAACCAGGCATAGGCCAACTTCAGCTCTCCAGGTGTTTTGGACTCCAACCCCCACAATTCCTAACAGCCAATAGGCTGTTAGGAATTGTGGGAGTTGGAGTCCAAAACACCTGGAGGGCTGAAGTTGGCCTATGCCTGAGCCAAACCCAAAACGAATCCATTCCTTCTGGTGTTGGAGAGAATGGAAAGCTTTATCCGTGCCACCTCTGTTGTTGTTAATTGCCCATCCTGTTGACATAAACATTTATTAAAGAGTGATCCATAGCTGTTCACATCCAGCCCCGAAGTTGTAAACGGATAGTAATTTGTATGATCTGGGACAAGTTACAAGGTAAGAATCACAGCTATTAATCTCTGTTGCAAATGGTGATTTGGATCAGGCCTTCAGCTGTGTTGTTTATTTCGTGTTTGTCGAAACAAAACATAGATGTCAGGCAAGCAATAGAAAGGGAATAGCCTTCCTGGTACGGTAGAGCTGAAAATCTCCCACATCCATCATAGAATCATAGAATCAGAGTTGGAAGAGACCTCGTGGGCCATCCAGTCCAACTCCCTGCCAAGAAGCAGGAATATTGCATTCAAATCACCCCTGACAGATGGCCATCCAGCCTCTGTTTAAAAGCTTCCAAAGAAGGAGCCTCCACCACACTCCGGGGCAGGGAGTTCCACTGCTGAACGGCTCTCACAGTCAGGAAGTTCTTCCTCATGTTCAGATGGAATCGCCTCTCTCGCGATGCTAGTTAGGGCTGATGGGATTTGCAATTCAAACATGTCTGGAGTGCCACTTGATTCCAAAAGTGAGATGTAAACTTTTTTATTTCACAAGTAATATATTATTAAGTTACTTGAAGTGTACTGGTGTACGAGGGTTGAATGAAAAGTAATGCCTCCACCTTCATAACTCCGCAATAGATGGCAGTACTGGCACGCGGCAGGTACTGGCTTCTTCAGTAGACTCTCCTCTACAGTTCCATTTTGTTCGGATGCCTTAGCATTGAATGGTTGTGTTGTTAAAGTGTGAAGTATGGAACCCTGTGCAGACGGTCGGTCAATGCAGCTTAAGCAACGTGCAGTCATTGAATTCTTGACAGCAGAAGGTGTCCCCTCAACATCTTTAAACTTACTCGCCCAACGACGCACAGTACTCACATCAACACAATCACCATAAACAGCTTGCATTCTCTGATGAATCTCCTTTGGGGTGACACCTTCTGCTGTCAAGAATTCAATGACTGCACGTTGCTTAAGTTGCATTGACCGACCGTCTGCGCAGGGTTCCATACTTCGCACTTTAACAACACAACCGTTCAATGCTAAGGCTTCCCGCCAAAATGGAACTGTAGAGGAGAGTCTACTGAACAAGCCAGTACCTGCTGCATACCAGTACTGCCACCTGTTGAGGAGTCACGATGGTGGAGGCATTACTTTTCATTCAACCCTGCCAGGCAAGCAATAGATAGCGAATGGAGTGCACAGGACCCCCATGAAAATGGGGAGGGGGGGGAAACCATAAATAATAAACTGCTATTATTATTATTATTATTATTATTATTATTATTATTATTATTATTGGACAAATAACAAGATTAATACACAACAAACAGGATCACTCTGCTGGCTGTTGTATTGGGTCACACGTCGGACACTTCCCAAGTGTCTAGGACTGTGATTTACTGGCGAAGAACGCGTACAGATCCGAGTAGGGTGGCCTACTGCAGCTGACAGGTGGTGATTTTGTTAGTGCCAATTGTTTTTAAGTGCAGACCAAGGTCTTTAGGCACTGCACCCAGTGTGCAGATTACCACTGGGACCTCCTCTACTGGCATTATTATTATTATTATTATTATTATTATTATTATTATTATTTTGAGAGAAAATGTCTCTAGGAATCTGTAGGTCCTCTAGCACAATTCTATTGGAAGAAAGGGAACTAAAAGAGGGCAAGATATGAAGTGAGGGAAGAAGTGAAGGAGAAAGAGAGTGTGAAGGTAAGAGAAGGGAAGGGAAAAGGGAATGAAAAAGGGAAGGAAGAAGAAAAAAGAGAGAAAAGGAAGAAGAAAGGAGGAAGGAAAGAAGAGGAAGGAAAGGAAGGAGGAGGAAGGAAGAAAGAAGGAGAGGATGAAGAAGGGAGGGAAGGAAGTGAGGGAAGAAGGAAAGAAAGAAGGAAGGAAGGAAGGAAGAAGGAAGGAAGGAAGGAAGGAAGGAAAAGAAGGGAGAGGAAGAAAGAAGGGAAGGGAGGAAGGAGAAGAAGGAAGAAAGAGGAGAGAGAAGGAAAGAAGGAGGGAGGGAGGAAGAGAAGGGAGAAGGAAGAAGAAGGAAGAGAAAAAGGGAAGGAAAGAAGAAGAAAGGGAGGAGGAAGAAGAGGGAGAAGGAAGGAAGGAGGAAGAAGAAAGAAGAAGGAAGGAAGGAAGGAAGGAAGGAAGGAAGGAAAGGAAGGAAGGAAAAAGAAGGAAGAGGAGGAAAAGAAGGGAAGGGAAGAAGAAGGGAGGGAGGAATTGAAGAAGGGAAGGAAATAAAGAAGAAAGGGAAGGGAGGAAGAATGAAGAAGGGAGGGAAAGAAGGAAGAAGGGAAGGAAGGGAGAAGAAGGAAAGAAAGAAGGAAGAAGGGAAGGGAGAAGGAATGAAAAGGAAGGGAAAGAAGGAAGAAAGGAAGGAAAAAGAAAGAAGGGAAAGAGGGAGGAAAGAGGGAAGGAAGGAAAGAAGAAAAAGGGAAGGGAGAAGGAATGAAGAAGGGAGGGAAAAGGAAGAAAGGAAGGAAAAGAAAGAGGAGAGAGGAGAAGAAAAAGGGAAGAAGGAAAGAAAAAAAGGAAAGTGGGAGAAAGTGCATGGAAGAAACAGAGAAAACCAAGAAAGAGCCACAAAGAAAATGCAAACTTGGGCATTGTCATGTATATATGGTAGTAAATAAATAAACTGGACATAAAAATTGACAGTTGTAGTCCACCATAGCTCAGTGGCACTATAACTCTAAGTATCAGAGAAAAGGCATGAAGAAGGGAAGTCACTGCACGCTATGTGAACCAAGAGGCACCTGGCCTATCTCAACAGATCTTGCGTGATCCAGCTTGCCACCCATTGTGTTTAAAGTGCTCACCTGCTTGCCATAGACGTTGACACAGATGCGCTTGCGAAGCACCAGCTGCATCTCGGCCGGGTGGCTCAGCTGCACCGTCACCCGCACAATCAGGTAGACTCTCTGTTCTCCGGTTGCCCCTCGGCTGAGCTGTGCGCAGTTGTGGACTGTGGAATCCCACGAAGCTTCAGCCTTCGCCTGGAAAATTGACAATGAAGGTGAGGTGCTATAGAGCAGGCATAGGCCAACTTGGTCCCTCCAGGTGTTTTGGACCTCAACTCCCACAATTCCTAACAGCCGGTAGGCTGTTAGGAATTGTGGGAGTTGAAGTCCAAAACACCTGGAGGGCCAAAGTTGGCCCATGCCTGTAGTCTCCTCTTCTCCTCTCCTCTCTGAAGGAAATCCCTGCTCCACGCTCACCTCGCTCTCGTGGTGCCGGACAATCTGCAGCTCAAAGAACTCATCCTCCTCTTCGGCCGCCAAGGTTGCATCCCATCCACCCGCTTCCGGCTCGTCCAGATTGTCCTGAGAGCTGAAGTCGTCCGCTGCATGGGAGAAGAAAGAGGTAGAGGGAGAAAATTATTGAGCAACTTCATGTCAGGACGGAAGAAGATACTACCAGGACTTTAAGTTCTGCCACGTTTTAAGTGTTGACTTTTTTCTCAAGCCAAAACACTTTTCAAAACTTGAAATCGGTAAATCTTTTATTCTTCTTTGTGCAAAAAAAGTCAATAAAAGGTGTCCAATCTTTCACATTTCTTTTTACCAATGTCCCTTTTTAAAATAAGTGGACTTTACCATTTAAATCAAGGAAGAGGACCGGGATGTGCGTCTCCATTCCAGGCACAGGTGTCCTGTAAGAAAACAAAACAAAAGCAAGATGCAAGAGTTGGCATATCAATTCAGGAAGGTGTGATCCACACAGCAGCTGTCTGTGGCTTTTCTACACTGCCATATAATCCACATGGCTAAAGCACATAATCTACATCAGTGGTTCTCAACCTGGGGGTCGGGACCCCTGGGGGGGTCACGAGGGGGTTTCAGAGGGGTCGCCAAAGACCATCAGAAAACATAGTATTTCCTGTTGGTCATAGGGGTTCCATGTGGGAAGTTTGGCCCAATTCTATCATTGGTGGGGATCAGAATGATATTTTATTGTAGGTGAACTATAAATCCCAGCAACTAAAACTCTCAAATGCCAAGGTCTATTTTCCCCAAACTCCACCAGTGTTCATTCACATTGGGCATGCTGAGTATTCATGGCAAGTTTGGCCCAGATCGATCATTGTGTGAGTCCATAGTGCTCTCTGGATGTGGGTGAACTACAACTCCAAACCTCAAGGTCAATGCCCACCAAACCCTTCCAGTATTTTCTGTTGGTCAAGGGAGTTCTGTGTGGCAAGATTGGTTCAATTCCATGCTCTTTGATCATAGGTAAACTATAGGTAAACAACTCCCAAATGACAACATCAATGCTCTTTGATCGTAGGTAAAGTATAAATCCCACCAACTACAACTCCCAAATGACATCAATCCCCTGCCAACCCCACCAGTATTCACGTATTTGTGCCAAATTTGGTCCAGTGAATGAAAATACATCTGGCATATCAGATATTTATATTATGATTCATAACAGTAGCAAAATTGGAGTTGTGAAGTAGCAACAAAAATAATATTATGGTTGGAGGTCACCACCAAATGAGGAACTGTATTAAGGGGTCGCAGCATTAGAAAGGTTGAGAACCACTGATCTACATTATCTGCTTTGAACAGGATTATATGAGTCTACATTGCCCACAGAAAACCATATTTAATGACCCTTGGAACTACAAGCGGGTTTTGTGAGACCAGTCACTCTTGTTGCAACGGTGAGGCCATGGACCATATTTTAGTTTTTGTGGACCACTGGTGGTCCATAGACCACAGGTTGGGAACCACAGTTTTAGATACTAACAGGACACCTAATTCATTGTGGTGTGAATTTCAAAGAAGCTATCCAACAGACTGAATTCATTTACAAGATAGCTGGATTGCTCCTCAGACGTTGGGCCCGATTCCCGGAAACATCAATCACTCACCAGTTGCCATTTCACTCTTCTTTTTTTGCTCCAAATTTAGTACAAGCCTAGCCTTTTTCCCGGCTTCCTGGCCATTGCAGCTCCCATTCAGCAAACGGCAATCTGGCCGCGTTTCCTTCTCTTACCAATGTTCTGAATGAAAGATTTCGTGGCATATTTGCTGACGGAAGGGAACTCGGGGACACGTAACCCAGAGTCCGGCGGAGGCAGCCTCGGTCGCCACCCAGACGCAGCCTTTTAAGTGAATGAACCGTGCAATTAATGTGAATGTTTTCTTCCCCTTTTAAATCAGCTAAAGTGCAGTAGCCATAAATATTGATTTCCATTGCTATAGGAGATCATAATTAAACTTTGGTTAATAATTCCGTTGCTTTAAGTAAGGAGTGTGGAAAGGCTTTTGGAATATTGCTCTTATGTAAAATGGTTCAAACGAACTCAGCTTTTGGAGAAGCAAAAACATCTAACCCAATCCGCAATCTCCAAAAACCAGAAAATATAGACCATTATTGACTGGATTATCACTAGAAGCTTCCCATATGGTTCTTACCACTCCGCAGGGGCTCCAGGGATGCCACTGCCAGCGGAAGGCACCATGACGGCATTCCTCTCTTCTGTAAGGGTCAACCTCATCTCTAACAGCTGGGCTTCTCGGTCTGCATCGTCTTCTGTTTTGTCTGGAAGAAGGCAACACAAGTTTTCGTTTTGAGTCTGGATTAAGCTGGTTTCGAAGTGTGTGCTACAAGTATGGGAAAACCCATTCAACTCAAGGAGAGAATGGAAGAGGCAGGAACAACTTCATCACACCTAGGCCCACAGGTAAATTAAAGGCTCTCCTTCCATCCCAACTGTTACTTCCCAAGCCTTGGAAGGAAGAGAAGACGGAGGCACAGATTCATCATGCTATGGCTGAGAATAAGATGGAAAGGCTTCCATCTATCCCAACTGTCACTGCCCAGGCATTGGGAGGAAAGGGAAATACAGCTCCATCATATCAAGGCCCAGAACAAGATGGAAAGACTTCCATCTATCCCAACTGTCACTACCCAGGTATTGGCAGGAAAGGGAGGTACAGCTTCATCATACCAAGGCCCAGAATAAGATAGAAGGCCTTCCATCTATCCCAACTGTCACTGCCCAGGCTTTGCAGGGAGAGAGGAAGACAGAGGTACAATTTCATCATGACAAGACCCAGAACAAGATGGAAGACTCTCCGTCTGTCCCAACTGTCACTGCCCAGTTCTCGGAGGGAAAGACAAAGACAGAGGACACAGTTTCATCTTGCCAAGGCCCAGAACAAGATGGAAGGCTCTCGGTCTATCCCAACTGTCACTACCCAGGCTTTGGAGGGAGAGAGGAAGACGGAGGCACACCTTCATCATGCCAAGGCCCAGATCAAGATGGAAGGTTCTCCATCTATCCCAACTGTCACTGCCCTGGCTTTGGAGGGAGAGAGGAAGATAGAGGCATAGTTTCATCATGCCAAGGCCCAGAACAAGATGGAAGGCTCTCTGTCTATCCCAACTGTCACTAACCAGGTTTTGGAGGGAGAGAGGAAAACGGAGGCACAATTTCATCATGTCAAGGCCCAGAACAAGATGGAATGCTCTCCATCTATCCCAATTGTCACTGCCAAGGCTTTGCAGGGAAAGGTCAGAGGCACAGTTTCATCATGCCAAGGCCCAGAACAAGATGAAAGGCTCTCGGTCTATCCCAACTGTCACTACCCAGGCTTTGGAGGGAGAGAGGAAGATTGAGGCACACCTTCATCTTGCCAAGGCCCAGAACAAGATGGAAGGCTCTCGGTCTATCCCAACTGTCACTACCCAGGCTTTGGAGGGAGAGAGGAAGATGGAGGCACAGTTTCATCATGCCAAGGCCCAGAACAAGATGGAAGACTCTCCATCTATCCTAACTGTCACTGCCCAGACTTTGGAGGGAGAGAAGAAGACGGAGCCACAGTTTCATCATGCCAAGGCCCAGAACAAGATGGAAGGCCCTCCGTCTATCCCAACTGTCACTGCCCAGGTTTTGGAGGGAGAGAGGAAGATGGAGAGACAGTTTCATCATGCCAAGGCCCAGAACAAGATGGAAGGTTCTCCGTCTACCCCAACTGTCACTGCCCAGGCTTTGGAGGGAGAGAGGAAGACAGAGGCACAGTTTCATCATGCCAAGGTCAAGAAAAAGATGGAAGGCTCTCCGTCTATCCCAACTGTCACTGCCCAGGTTTTGGAGGGAGAGAGGAAGACAAAGCCACAGTTTCATCACACCAAGGCCCAGAACAAGATGGAAGGTTCTCCATCTATCCCAACTGTCACTGCCCAGGCCTTTGGATGAAGGTGTGTCTTCCTGTTAGAAAAACAATTTCATCATGACAAGACCCAGAACAAGATGGAAGACTCTCTGTCTGTCCCAACTGTCACTGCCCAGTTCTCGGAGGGAAAGACAAAGACAGAGGACACAGTTTCATCTTGCCAAGGCCCAGAACAAGATGGAAGGCTCTCGGTCTATCCCAACTGTCACTACCCAGGCTTTGGAGGGAGAGAGGAAGACGGAGGCACACCTTCATCATGCCAAGGCCCAGATCAAGATGGAAGGTTCTCCATCTATCCCAACTGTCACTGCCCTGGCTTTGGAGGGAGAGAGGAAGATAGAGGCATAGTTTCATCATGCCAAGGCCCAGAACAAGATGGAAGGCTCTCTGTCTATCCCAACTGTCACTAACCAGGTTTTGGAGGGAGAGAGGAAAACGGAGGCACAATTTCATCATGTCAAGGCCCAGAACAAGATGGAATGCTCTCCATCTATCCCAATTGTCACTGCCAAGGCTTTGCAGGGAAAGGTCAGAGGCACAGTTTCATCATGCCAAGGCCCAGAACAAGATGAAAGGCTCTCGGTCTATCCCAACTGTCACTACCCAGGCTTTGGAGGGAGAGAGGAAGATTGAGGCACACCTTCATCTTGCCAAGGCCCAGAACAAGATGGAAGGCTCTCGGTCTATCCCAACTGTCACTACCCAGGCTTTGGAGGGAGAGAGGAAGATGGAGGCACAGTTTCATCATGCCAAGGCCCAGAACAAGATGGAAGACTCTCCATCTATCCTAACTGTCACTGCCCAGACTTTGGAGGGAGAGAAGAAGACGGAGCCACAGTTTCATCATGCCAAGGCCCAGAACAAGATGGAAGGCCCTCCGTCTATCCCAACTGTCACTGCCCAGGTTTTGGAGGGAGAGAGGAAGATGGAGAGACAGTTTCATCATGCCAAGGCCCAGAACAAGATGGAAGGTTCTCCGTCTACCCCAACTGTCACTGCCCAGGCTTTGGAGGGAGAGAGGAAGACAGAGGCACAGTTTCATCATGCCAAGGTCAAGAAAAAGATGGAAGGCTCTCCGTCTATCCCAACTGTCACTGCCCAGGTTTTGGAGGGAGAGAGGAAGACAAAGCCACAGTTTCATCACACCAAGGCCCAGAACAAGATGGAAGACTCTCCGTCTATCCCAACTGTCACTGCCCGGGCTTTGGAGGGAGAGAGGAAGAAAGAGGCACAGTTTCATCATGCCAAGGCCCAGAACAAGATGTAACGCTCTCTGTCTACCCCCACTGTCACTGCCCAAGTCTTGGAGGGAGAGAGGAAGATGAAGGCACAGTTTCATCATGCCTAGGCCCAGAACAAGATGGAAGGTTCTCTGTCTATCTCAACTGTCACTGCCCAGGCTTTGGAGGGAGAGAGGAAGACGAAACCACAGTTTCATCTTGCCAAGGCCCAGAACAAGATGGAAGGCTCTCCGTCTATCCCAACGGTCACTGCCCAGGCCTTGGAGAGTGAGAACAAGAGGCAGGCACAGCGTCATCACTTCTAAACCTAATCCAACTCTGAAATATTGTCTTGTGAGCGAGAGGGGCCCAAAAGCTAACAATGCCAATGAATTCTGGTTTAAAGCTCCATGTTTCTCAACAAGCCCTTGGAAAGATCTTGCAACTTTTTAGAGAAGCATGGAAAACATACGAAATCTAAGAAAGTTTTGATGGAGCTGTAAGGAAGACTTTGTTCATTTGAAGAACTTTAGAGAGCCACACTGTTGAGTTCAGAAGGGCTGGATTTGGCTCCAGGGTGTCTCATGTCCTGCAAGAAAAATGATCCCAGCCACACAGAAAGAAAGTTGGAACTTCAAAGAGACAAATCAGCCCTTTCTGTCCTTACCTGGCTTTCCTACAAGTTTCTGTAACTGCTGATCAAGATACTCCTGGCGTTTCGTGAGCACATTCAGCCATTTCCGACGCAGCCTCTCCAGGTCTCTGTCCTATGAAGAAGAGCCAAGTGGGTTTTTCAGACAAGATTAAATGGTGATTTCTGAACAGCATCCAATCCTCTTATGTATGGAAAGTTTTTAAGGGGTAGAGAGGCAGTCATTGAAAAAGATGACGAAAAGAAAGGCTTATTGTGGCAACTCTGTTTACTAAGGTCTAGAGCAGTGGTTCTCAACCTTCCTAATGCCACGACCCCTTAGTACAGGTTCTCACGTTGTGGTGACCCCCAACCATAACGTTATTTTCGTTGCTACTTCTTTAATTTTGCCACTGTTATGAATTGTAACAGTGATATGCAGGATGTATTTTCATTCACTGGACCAAATTTGGTACAAATACCTGATACGCACGAATTGGAATACTGGTGGGGTTGGAGGGGATTGATTATGTCATTTGGGAATATGCTGGGATTCATAGTTCATCTAAAATCAAAGAGCCTTTTGAATTCCACCAATGATAGAATTGAATCAAACTTGACACACAGAATTCCCATGGCCAAGAGAAATACTGGGAGAGTCTGGTGGACACTGACCTTGGTTTTTGGAGTTGTAGTTCACCTACATCCACAGAACACTGTGGACTCAAACAATGATGGATCTGGATCAAACTTGGCACAGATAATCAATATGCCCAAATGTGAACACTGGTAGAGTTTGGAGAAAATAGACCTTGCCATTTGGGAGTTGTAGTTGCTGGGATTCATAGTTCACCCACGATGAAATAGCATTCTGAATCCCACCAATGATAGAACTGGGCCAAACTTCCCACGCAGAACACCCATGACAAGGAGAAAATACTACGTTTTCTGATGGTCTTTGGTGACCCCTCTAACACCCCCTTGCGACCCCCAAAGGGGTCCCGACCCCCAGGTTGACAACCACTGGTCTAGAGTTTAGTGGGGGGAGATGCTTTGTTATACTACAAATCCCAGAATTCCCAGCTAGCATGGTATGCTAGCATCTTGGGCAGATGCTGGGATTTGTAGTCAGAAAAGTTACTTTAGCAAGCTCTATTAAGGCATGGACACTCTTAAGTAGTTGTTTGCTTTGTCTCCTGCAGCAGTTTTGGGTTTTTAAGTCCTTTCTGCTGTTTTTTGGGAGGGGATTATTAGTGATGGTCACGCGTTGGTCTGTTAGGGGTGTAGTGCCCAAATTTCGTGCCAATTTGTCTAGTGGTTTTTGAGTCATGTTAATCCCACAAACAAACATTACATTTTTATTTATGTAGATTATATGTTCAGTGCAAACTCTCTTTACAATGCAACAGTGTTGTGATCACTCTGTAGTAAAGGCAAATTAGCCCAATATGACCTAAAAACTTATATTTTCAGTGGAAAAAGTAGTCTATTTACCTGGTAGCTATCCATGTCATCATCTTCTTCCTAGAAAAAAAAATCACAAAAATAAAATATATTCTTTCCCACACTTTTATCATGCGATCTTAGTGAAGTATAAGGCCTCATTTACACCACAATTTCATATTCCATTATATGGCAGTGTAGACGGGGCCTGAGATTGACATTTTTAAGTTGCATTATGCATTAACTACAAATAATAATCCTTTCTGACCTCTTGCAAACGTCCCTGTTTTGTCAACTGGGGAAAAAGCATGATAGGAGGCTGGACGAGTGCCTGGCCGCTGTGTCTATCTGGATGAGGAGGAACAAGCTGAAGATCAATCCCGACAAGACAGAGGTCCTCCTGGTCGATCGTAAACCTGACCGGGGTATAGGGTGGCAACCTGTGCTGGACGGGGTTACACTCCCCCTGAAGCCACAGGTCCGCAGTTTGGGGGTCCTCCTGGATTCCTCGCTCACGCTTGAGGCTCAGGCGTCGGCGGTGGCCGGGAGGGCTTTTGCACAATTGAGACTCGTGCGCCAACTGCGACTGTACCTCGTGAAGGCTGATCTGGCCGGGGTGGTCCATGGCTTGGTCACCTCCAGATTGGACTACTGCAATGCGCTCTACATGGGGCTGCCCTTGAAAACGGCTCGGAAGTTCCAACTGGTCCAACGAGCAGCGGCCAGGATGTTAACAGAGAGAGGTCAACCCTCCTGTTCAAGGAGCTCCACTGGCTGCCGTTTATTTTCCGAGCCCAATTTAAGGTGCAGGTGCTGACCTACAAAGCCCTGAACGGTTTGGGACCATACTACCTGCTTGACCGCATCTCCGTCTACGAACCCACGCGTTCACTTCGGTCATCTGGAGAGGCCCTGCTCGTGATCCCGCCTGCGTCACAAGCACGTTTGGTGGGGACACAAGACAGGGCCTTTTCTGTGGTGGCCCTCCGACTCTGGAACACCCTCCCCAAAGATCTTAGACAGGCCCCTACATTGGCAGTCTTCAGAAAGAACTTGAAGACCTGGCTGTTCCGATGTGCCTTCCCAGAATAGGAAATCTCCAATACCAAGTCCCATAAGCACTTTATTAAAACTAAGATTGCTGCACACCGCACACTGCACTTGCCCTATAATCCTACATACCTCCTGTCACATCAGCACTTTTAATCCTATACCCATTACTCTGGCCAGGCCCAGTTTCATTATGTCCTAGTGCAGTGGTTCTCAACCTTGCTAATGCCATGACCTCTTAGTGCAGTTCCTTATGTTGTGGTGACCCCCAACCATAATATTGTTTTCATTGCTACTTGATACCTGTCATTTTACTACTGCTATAAATCGTAATGTAAATATCCAATACGCAGGATGGATTGTCATTCACTGGACTAAATTGAGCACAAATACCCAATATGCCCAATTGTGAATGCTAGTGGGGTTGGGGGGCGGGAAGGAATGATTTTGTAATTTGGGAGTTGTAGTTGCTGGGATTTATAGTTCATTTATAATCAAAGATCATTCTGAACTCCACCAGTGATGGATTTAAATCAAACTTGGCACACAGAACTCCCATGATGATTAGAAAACACTGGAGGGGTTTTGTGGGCATTGACCTTGAGTTTGGGAGTTGTAGTTCACTTATATCCAGAGGAGTGCTGTGGATTAATGCAATGATGGATCTGAACCAAACTTGGCACGAATACTCAATATGCCCAAATGTGAACACTGGTGGAGTCTGGGAAAAACAGACCTTGACATTTGGGAGTTGTAGTTGTTGGGATTTATAATTCACTTACAATCAAAGAGAATTCTCTACTTGACCAACAATAGAATTGGGTCAAACTTCCCACACAAAATCCCAATGACCAACAGAAAATACTATGTTTTCTGATGGTCTTTGGCGACCCCTTTGACACCCCCTCATGACCCCCTCAGGGGTCCCGACCCCCAGGTTGAGAAACACTGTCCTAGTGTATTGTTTATTGCTTGTTGTTATATTGCTTTAATTGTTTTTAATTTGCCTTAGGTTTTGTATTGTTATGTTGTGTGTTGAGGCCTTGGCCTTTGTAAGCCGCATCGAGTCCTTCGGGAGATGCTAGCGGGGTACAAATAATGTTTAATAATAAAAATAAAAATAAAATAATAATAATGAAAATATCAACAACAGCTTCATCCAGCAAAGTGGATTTTTTAATATATGGAGACTCAATGCTATAGAACAGTGGTTCTCAACCTGTGAGTCCCCAGGTGTTTTGGCCGACAAGTCCCAGAAATTCCAGCCCGTCTACCAGCTGTTAGGATTTCTGGGAGTTGAAGGCCAAAACATCTGGGGACCCACAGGTTGAGAACCACTGCTATAGAAATTCTAGGAGTTGTAATTTGGTGAGGCACCAGCACTCTTTGGCAGAGAAGACTAAAGACCTTGCAAAACTGCAGTTCCCAGAATTACATAGCACTGAGACATGGCACTTAAAGTGGTGTCAAACTGCATTAGTTCTACAGTGCAGATGCATCCTCAGACAGTTCTTTTCCATCACTTGAACTGGAGATGCCAGGGATAAAACCTGAGACCTTCTTCCAGGAAAAAGTGGTGTGGTCACAAATATAATTTTCATTTTCCCTTTCGTGGCAGTTAGCTTAATAAACGAGGAACCCTTTTACCTGATGATTCTCGTGGCTTTTGGGCGACTTGATGTTCCTGATCTGGACGCAACCCACTCCAATGGACAGAATGGATTCTTCCATGAGAGGCAACGTTCCTGATTCTTGCACTGACTTCACTTCCACTTGAATCCTACGCGATTGTCCCTGGAGAAGAAGGCAATTGTGTGAGGAACACAAACAGAAAGGACATATAGTCTGGTATAGACCGACCTCTGCTGGCAACAGACGAGAAGACAAGAGCACTTTCAAAATACAGCCATCCTTCTATATCTACAGTTTGAAAGTTAAAGAATCCTAAAGTTGGAAGAGACCTCGTGGACCATCCAGTCCAACCCCATTCTGCCAAGAATCAGGAAAATTGCATTCAAAACACCCCCAATAGATGGCCATCCAACCTCTGTTTCAAAGCCTCCAAAGAAGGAAGGAGCCTCCACCACACTCCAGGGCAGAGAGTTCCACTGCTGAACAGCTCTCTTAAAAGCCACCAAAGAAGGAGCCTCCACCACACTCCAGGGAAGAGAGTTCCACTGCTGAACAGCTCTCACAGTCAGGAAGTTCTTCCTCATGTTCAGGTGGGATCTCCTTTCTTGTAGTTTGAAGCCATTGCTCCACATCCTAGTCTCCAGGGAAGCAGAAAACAAGCCTGCTCCCTCCTCCCTATGACTTCCCCTTACATATTTATACATGGCCCTCATCATGTCTCCTCTCAGCCTTCTCTTCTTCAGGCTAAACATGCCCAGCTCTTTCAGCCGCTCCTCATAGGGCTTGTTCTCCAGACCCTTTATCATTTTAGTCGCTCTCCTCTGGACACATTCCAGCTTGTCAATATCTCTCTTGAATTGTGGTGCCCAGAATTGGACACAATATTCCAGATGTGGTCTAACCAAAACAGAATAGAGGGGTAGCATGACTTCCCTAGATCTAGACACTATGCTCCTATTGATGCAGGCCAAAATCCCATTGGCTTTTTTAGCTGCTGCATCACATTGTTGGCTCATGTTTAACTTGTTGTCCATGAGGACTCCAAGATCTTTTCCACACGTCCTGCTTTCGAGCCAGGCGTCGTTCCCCATTCTGTATCTTTGCATTTCATTTTTTCAGCCAAAGTGGAGTCTCTTGCATTTGTCCCTGTTGAACTTCATTTTGTTAGTTTTGGCCCATCATCTCTCTAAGCTATTAGTATTGTTTTGAATCCTGCTCCTGTCCTCTGGAGTATTGGCTATCCCTCCCAATTTGGTGTCGTCTGCAAACTTGATGATCCTGCCTTCTCACCCTTCATCTAAGTCACTAATCAAGATCCTGAACAGGACCAGGACCAGGACGGAACCCTGCTTGTGGCACTCCACTTGTCACTTCTTTCCAGATGAAGAGGAAGCATTGGGGAGAATCACCCTCTGGGTTCGTTTGCTTAACCAATTACAGATCCACCTAACTGGGAAGCCCTGGCTCTTGAGTGCTCCAGCTGGAGGTCAGCTGTGACCAGCAGTGCTGCAGAATTTGAAGAAGCACGAATGGAGGGTGAAAGAGAGAAACGTGCCAAGAGGAAGGCGCATCAAGCCAACTCCGATTGAGACCGCCTTCCACTTGGAAACTAATGCCCTCACTGCGGGATATAATGCAAATCAAGAATAGGGCTCCACAGTCACCTACGGGCCCACTAGAACACTGATTCTGGAAGACTATCCTTCTCGGCCATAGAGGGATCGCCTAACTAACTAACTAGTTTTGCCTAGCCTGCTTTTGCCTCTCTACTTCGTTATTTTTAGTAGCTGCTTAGACGTCACCATGCAGTAGTATCTAGTTATGCAATTTTTAGTCTTATATATTTAAAAAAAACATTTTTTGTGTTTTATCTTTATTTGTTGAATAAAAATAACTTTAAATAAAAAATATAGAGATATATCAGAATAAGAAGGTTATAGCAGAATAGAACAAAGGTATTGGATGAGCTGTGCAACTTACCTGCCTGAGTTGAAAGATGCCTCCTGTGTGCACATCCTTGGCTGGAATCACCTCCACTGGGCAATATTCCCCGTTCTCATTCAGCTCCAGAATCTGAACCCACAACTCCACTTTGCGCGTGACTTCACTCCACCTGCAAAAAAGACAGAAACACAACGTCATATGTGAAAATTATAAGTTGCTTACCTGTAACTGTAGTTTCCTGAGTAGTCACCTGTGAATTCGTACATTTGGTATCCCTGCGCTTGCGCAATACAACTTTCCGGAACCTTCTAGAAAGAAAAGAAACTTTCAGCCCTCAGCTAGGCCCGCCCCCCCCCCCCCGAGTATATATAGCCCGAGGGCGGGACTAGCCGTCAGTTCTCTTAGCCGCAAAAAACAGCTAAACGGCGTGGCATGATACTCGAGGGGAGGAAGGGCGGGTATGTACGAATTCACAGGTGACTACTCAGGAAACTACAGTTACAGGTAAGCAACTTATAATTTCCTGTCGTAGTCACTGTGAATCGTACATTTGGTAGATTAGCGAGCATCCATCTTGGCAGGAGGGATCATGCCACCGCCGAAGACAATACTGCTCTACCAAATTCCATGTCCCTTTGAGAAACAGCGTCCACCTTATAATGTGACACAAAGGTCAAAGGGGACGACCAAACAGCGGCCCGGCAGATGGCATCCAAAGACACTCCCCGTAAAAAGGCTGTTGACGTTGCCACAGCCCTGGTGGAGTGACCCCGTATCTGCAACGGCAGATCTTTGCCAGCCAGGCGGTAACATAAACGAATAACGGAAACTATCCAAGAGGAAAACCTCTGGGAGGACAAAGGGAGACCAATGGCATCACTACGATATTTTATGAACAATCTAGGAGTCTTCCGCAACGGGGCTGTCCTATCCACATAAAAAGCGAGAGCTCTGCGTACATCAATTAAATGCAGAGCACGCTCCGCAGGTGTAGTCGGGTTTTGAAAGAACCCCGGAAGCACCAGCTCCTGAGATATATGAAAACGAGTAGCCACCTTAGGAAGGAACCCCACATCTGTACGTAAGACCACCCTATCACCATGAAACTTAAGATAGGGTGGGTCTACTCGTAGCGCACATAGCTCGCTGGAGCGTCTGGCAGATGTAATTGCCACCAAAAAGGCTGTCTTCCATGACAAAAATGAAAGTTCGACCCTAGCCAATGGTTCAAAGGGGGGTTTTGATAAACAGTTTAACACAAGTTCTAAGCTCCAAGAGGGAGCGATCGGGGCCACCGCAGGCCTGACGTTAGCAAATCCACGCAAAAAAGTCCTGACCAAAGGGTCCACGAAACATGACGGCAAACCCCATTTCCTTCTAAACCAGGAAATCGCCGCCAGGTAACATTTTAATGAAGAGTGAGATAGTCCCGAATCCGCTAGGGACACCAAGAAGTCCAAAATTACAGAAGTCTGAACAGTGATGGGGTCAAGTCCCTTTGAGCGAACAAACGAACTAAACTTCGCCCATTTATAGACGTAAGATCGTTTCGTCGAAGGCCTATGTGCAGCATCAATGATTGCTAGCACCGGAGAGGATAATGTCCCGACTGAAGCTAGGGAAGCGGAAGGATCCTCCACGCTGTGAGCTTCAGTCTGTCCACTTCCGGGTACAGAACCTGGTCGTTCTGTGAAGTCAGGAGGTCGGGCCTGTCGGGAAAACGGAAGAATACTCCTCTCGCCATTTGGTGGAGTGGGGCAAACCAAGGCTGGCGAGGCCACCACGGGGTTATTAAAATGCACCGTGCGTTTTCCCTTTGGATCTTGGCCACCACCCTCAGAAGAAGGGGGAAGGGAGGAAACGCGTACACAAGTCGAGTCGACCAGTCTAGAAGGAAGGCATCCCCCAGACACCCTGAGTCTACTGAGGCCTGGGTCCGAGCGCAGAACAGGTCGCATTTCGAATTGGCCTGAGTCGCAAAAAGATCCACCTCCGGAGTGCCCCACGCCAGGAAGAGCCTCCGGACCTCCTCCTGGTGAAGAGACAGGAATACCTGGCCGCTCTTAATGAGTTCAAGTCCCCAGGGCCAGATCAACTACACCCCAGAGTATTGAAGGAACTAGCGGAAGTCATTTCGGAACCATTGGCAACCATCTTTGAGAGTTCTTGGAGAACGGGAGAAGTTCCAGCAGATTGGAGGAGGGCCAATGTGGTCCCAATCTTCAAGAAGGGAAAAAAGGATGACCCAAACAACTACCGTCCGGTCAGCCTCACGTCGATACCGGGCAAGATTCTGGAAAAGATTGTTAAGGAAGCGGTCTGCAAACACTTAGAAACAAATGCAGTCATCGCTAATAGTCAACATGGATTTATCAAAAACAAGTCATGCCAGACTAATCTGATCTCTTTCTTCGATAGAGCTACAAGCTGGGTAGATGCGGGGAATGCCGTGGATGTAGCGTACCTGGATTTCAGTAAGGCCTTCGACAAGGTCCCCCATGACCTTCTGGCAAGGAAACTAGTCCAATGTGGGCTAGGCAAAACTACGGTGAGGTGGATCTGTAATTGGTTAAGTGGACGAACACAGAGAGTGCTCACTAATGCTTCCTCTTCATCTTGGAAAGAAGTAACAAGTGGAGTGCCGCAGGGTTCCGTCCTGGGCCCGGTCCTGTTCAACATCTTTATTAATGACTTAGATGAAGGGCTAGAAGGCATGATCATCAAGTTTGCAGACGACACCAAATTGGGAGGGATAGCCAATAGTCCAGAGGACAGGAGCAGAATTCAAAACGATCTTGACAGATTAGAGAGATGGGCCAAAACTAACAAAATGAAGTTCAACAGTGACAAATGCAAGATACTCCACTTTGGCAGAAAACATGAAATGCAAAGATACAGAATGGGGGACACCTGGCTCGAGAGCAGTACGTGTGAAAAAGATCTTGGAGTCCTCGTGGACAACAAGTTAAACATGAGCCAACAATGTGATGTGGCGGCAAAAAAAGCCAATGGGATTTTGGCCTGCATCAATAGGAGCATAGTGTCTAGATCTAAGGAAGTAATGCTACCCCTCTATTCTGCTTTGGTTAGACCACATCTGGAATATTGTGTCCAATTCTGGGCACCACAATTCAAGAGAGATATTGACAAGCTGGAATGTGTCCATAGGAGGGCGACTAAAATGATCAAGGGTCTGGAGAACAAGCCCTATGAGGAGCGGCTTAGGGAACTGGGCATGTTTAGCCTGAAGAAGAGAAGGCTGAGAGGAGATATGATAGCCATGTATAAATATGTGAGAGGAAGCCACAGGGAGGAGGGAGCAAGCTTGTTTTCTGCTTCCTTGGAGACTAGGACGGAAACAATGGCTTCAAACTACAAGAGAGGAGATTCCATCTGAACATGAGGAAGAACTTCCTGACTGTGAGAGCCGTTCAGCAGTGGAACTCTCTGCCCCGGAGTGTGGTGGAGGCTCCTTCTTTGGAAGCTTTTAAACAGAGGCTGGATGGCCATCTGTCAGGGGTGATTTGAATGCAATATTCCTGCTTCTTGGCAGGGGGTTGGACTGGATGGCCCATGAGGTCTCTTCCAACTCTTTGATTCTATGATTCTAATGATTCTATGATTCTGGGTTCGTTTGCTTAACCAATTACAGATCCACCTAACTGGGAAGCCCTGGCTCTTGAGTGCTCCAGCTGGAGGTCAGCTGTGACCAGCAGTGCTGCAGAATTTGAAGAAGCACGAATGGAGGGTGAAAGAGAGAAACGTGCCAAGAGGAAGGCGCATCAAGCCAACTCCGATTGAGACCGCCTTCCACTTGGAAACTAATGCCCTCACTGCGGGAGATGATGCAAATCAAGAATAGGGCTCCACAGTCACCTACGGGCCCACTAGAACACTGATTCTGGAAGACTATCCTTCTCGGCCATAGAGGGATCGCCTAACTAACTAACTAGTTTTGCCTAGCCTGCTTTTGCCTCTCTACTTCGTTATTTTTAGTAGCTGCTTAGACGTCACCATGCAGTAGTATCTAGTTATGCAATTTTTAGTCTTATATATTTAAAAAAAACATTTTTTGTGTTTTATCTTTATTTGTTGAATAAAAATAACTTTAAATAAAAAATATAGAGATATATCAGAATAAGAAGGTTATAGCAGAATAGAACAAAGGTATTGGATGAGCTGTGCAACTTACCTGCCTGAGTTGAAAGATGCCTCCTGTGTGCACATCCTTGGCTGGAATCACCTCCACTGGGCAATATTCCCCGTTCTCATTCAGCTCCAGAATCTGAACCCACAACTCCACTTTGCGCGTGACTTCACTCCACCTGCAAAAAAGACAGAAACACAACGTCATATGTGAAAACAAATAATCCAGTTTCTTCACTCTGCTTTGGAAATGTTCAAAATTATGAGGGGTATGTCTACATGGTAGAATTATTGTAGTTTGACGCCCCTTTAACTGCCTTGACTCAATGCTATGGAATCTTGGGAGTTGAAGTTTGGAAAGGCAGCAGCCCTCTTTGACAGAGAAGGCTAAAGACCTTGTAAAATGACATCTCCTTTGATTTCGTAGCTGTGAACCATGTTAGTTATTATTCTTATTCTTATTATTGGGTTGTTGTGGGTTTTTCAGGCTGTATGGCCATGTTCTAGCAGCATTTTCTCCTGATGTTTCACCTGCATCTGTGGCTAGCATCTTCAGAGGTTTTGATGGTAGTAAAAAAAAGTGGAGTTCCTGGGATTGCTGCACGCCAGTTCACATGTATATATATATATATATATATACATATACATATATATGTATATGTATGTGTGTATGTATATATGTATATGCGTGTGTGTGTGTGTGTGTGTGTGTGTGTGTGTGTGTATATATATATATATATATATATATATATATATATGAGAAATATCCAGGATGGGAGAAAGAACCTTCATCTGTTTGAAGCCAGTGTGAAGAAAATTCCACAGATATATATATAAAATCCACTTTTCTCATTTCCAAGAGACCTTTGAACAAAGCTCTGAAGATGCCATTAGCCACAGATGCAGGCAAAACGTCAGGAGAGAATGCTACTGGAAAATGGTGATACAGCCCAAAAAACTCACAGCAACCCAGTGATTCAGGCCATGAAAGCTTTTGACATTATTATTATTATTATTATTATTATTATTATTATTATTATTTGAAACACCACAAGATGAATCCACAACAGACACTCTGCTGGCTGTTGTATTGGATCACACTATTATTATTATTATTATTATTATTATTATTATTATTATTATTATTATTATTATTTGTCATGTCAGAAGTGACTTGAGAAACTGCAAGTCGCTTCTGGTGTGAGAGAATTGGCTTATTATTATTATTATTATTATTATTATTATAATATTTATTTATACCCCGCTTTATCTCACGCGAAAGATATTCCAAATGGCTTAACATAAAAAGATTAGCACACAATTTAAAATATATAAATATGGAAACATTAAAACAGGATTAAACATAAACAGTATTTAAAAAAAATCACTGGGTACCACTCTTCTCAAAATTCTATGCAGAGTTTTTGTGCTTTTCAACAAAAAAAATTGTCTTTCATTCATTTATGAGTCAATTGGCACCTCTCTTACCTGTCTCGGAGGCTTCGTGTCTTGGCCTGGATTATTCCCAGGTCCCACAGAGCTGGGTTTTTGCAAGGGTCGGACTGCTTGTGCCCATACACCTCAATGGCCAAAGCGCCATCGGAAAGATACTCCATAAAATCATCAGTAATGTGGACAGACAATTCCTAGTTCAGAAAAAAAGAAGATAAAGCATGTCATTCATTCTATTTGTAACTCTAGTTGACTATTATATAACAAAAACAGCAACAACAACTATTGTTATTGTAATAATTCACTTCTAAGATGCACTTTCTCTCCATAAAGCAGTGGTTCTCAACCTGTGGGTCCCCAGGTGTTTTGTTTATTTGTTTACCATATTTATATACAGCCCGAAGGCGACATGGGGCATTTTACAATCGGCAATCAACACCACCAACAACATAAAATATAATTAAAAACATTAACATATAATATAGACCATATAAAAGCAGTAGAAACAATAAACGCCAGAAATAAATCACGGGAGTTGTAGTTTTACAAAGTTATTAGCCCCTGCCAAAGAATTGTGGTGTTTCACCAAACTATAACTCAGTGTTTCTCAACCTGGGGGTCGGCACCCCTGAGGGGGGTCGCGAAGGGGTGTCAGAGGGGTTGCCAAAGACCATCAGAAAACACAGTATTTTCTGTTGGTCATGGGGGTTCTGTGTGGGAAGTTTGGCCCAATTCTATCATTGGTGGGGTTCAGAACGCTCCTTGATTGTAGGTGAACTATAAATCCCAGTATCTACAACTCCCAAATGTCAAAGTCTATGTTCCCCAAACCCCATCAGTGTTCATTTGGGCATATTGAGTATCCGTGCCAAGTTTGGTCCAGATCCATCATTGTTTGAGCCCACAGTGCTCTCTGGATGTAGGCGAACTACAACTCCCAAACTCAAGGTCAATGCCCACCAAACCCTTCCAGTATTTTCTGTTGATCATGGGAGTTCTCTGTGCCAAATTTGGTTCAATTCCATTGTTGGTGGGGTTCAGAATGCTCTTTGTTTACATGTTAACTATAAATCCCAGCAACTACAACTCCCAAATGACAGAATCAATTTCCCCGCCAACCCCACCAGTATTCAAATTTGGGCATACCGGGTATTTGTGCCAAATTTGCTCCAGTGAATGAAAATACATCCTGCAGATCATTATTTACATGGCGATTCATAATGTTAGGGTTCTGGTTGGGGGTCACCACAACATGAGGAACTGTATTAAGGGGTTGAAGCATTAGGAAGGTTGAGAAACACTGCTATAACTCTACAGCATTGAGCAATGACAGCTAAAGTGGGGTCAAAACTGCACTAATTGTAGTGCAGATTAGGCATGGGCAAACCTGGGCCCTCCAGGTGTTTTGGACTTCAACTCCCACCATTCCTAACAGCCTCAGGCCCTTTCCTTTCCCCCCTCAGCCGCTTAAGCGGCTGAGGGGGGAAAGGAAGGGGCCTGAGGCTGTTAGGAATGGTGGGAGTGGAAGTCCAAAACACCTGGAGGGCCCAAGTTTTCCTATGCCTGGCGTGGAAGCATCCATGGACTCCCCTCTTCAACCCTGAACATTTTCCACTGGAAGGTGCAATGGAGCATCCAACAGACCAACTATTGGGTTTTCTGGATGGAGGATGCTGGGATTCATACTCCCTAAACATAACATTTTGAGGTGACAACTCTGTGACATAAAAACAAACAAACAAATATCCAAACTGGGTTGTTGTAGGCTTTTTCGGGCTATATGGCCATGGTCTAGAGGCATTCTCTCCTGACGTTTCGCCTGCATCTATGGCAAACATCCTCAGAAGTAGTGAGGTCTGTTGGAACTAGGAAAAAGGTTTTATATATCTGTGGAATGACCAGGGTGGGACAAAGGACTGTCTGCTGCTGCTAGGTGTGAATGTTTCAACTGACCACCTTGATTAGCATACAATGGCCTGACTGTGCCTGGGGCAAACTTTTGTTGAGAGGTAATTAGATGTCCCTGCCTGCTTCCTCTCTGTTGCACTGCAGACTACTCCAACCAGAGAAATCAGCCATAGAAGAGCACCTGATGAACCAACCTGGACACAGCATTTTATTTGAGAACACAGAAATGCTGGACCACTCTCACAACCACCATGTCAGACGACACAGAGAAGCCATTGAAATACACAAGCAGGTGGACAATTTCAACAGAAAGGAGGAAACCATGAAAATGAACAAAATCTGGCTACCAGTATTAAAAAACTCTAAAATTGCAACAGCACAACAACAGAGAGGAAACAAACAAGGACATCTAATCATCTCTCAACAAAAGTTTGCCCCAGGCACAGTCAGGCCATTGTATGCTAATCAAGGTGGTCAGTTGAAACATTCACACCTAGCCCCAGCAGAGAAGAGTCCTTTGTCTCACACTGGTCATTCCACAGATATATAAACCCCTTTTCCTACTTCCAACAGACCTCACTACCTCTGAGGATGCTCGTCATAGATGCAGGTGAAACGTCAGGAGAGAATGCCTCTAGACCATGGCCATATAGCCCGAAAAAACCTACAACAACCCAGTGATTCCGGCCATGAAAGCCTTCGACAAATATCTAAACTGTCTTGCATGTGCCTGTTGCTCTTCCGAATACAATCATAACAAACAAAACCCAAATTACATTGCAATGGTCGAAGACGACCATGCACCGCGGCTCCTTGCTGACGGGCGAGAGAGAGGGATCCATCTCGGGGGCCACCGTCACGGGTTCCAGTTGATCCCAGAACGAATACTTGCAGAAGACGAAGTTGGAGAGGTGCTGAGGCAAACCGGTGGCCTGGAGGATTTTAATCTAGGAGGAAGGAAACAATGTTTTAATGGAAGCAGGTCAACAAGAAATAGCATCCTTAGATAACACCCTTAAATGTTTATGTTCTGCTGGTGGTGAGGAAAGTGGAGTGTATATGTATCTGTGGAGTGTCCAGGGTGGGAGAAAGAACTGCTGTCTGTGTAAAACAGTGGTTCCCAACCTGTGGTCCGTGGACCATCAATGGTCTGCAATAACTAAAATATGGTCCATGGTTCTACCATTACTACACCATTGTAACAAGAGCGACTGTTCTCTCAAAATCCTCTTATAGTGCCAAGGCTTATTTAATATGGTTTTCTGTGGGTGAGCAGATGGCGACTACTGGGTGGCATATGCAGAGCCGGTCCTAGGTAATTTTCAAGTGTAAGCAAACAGTATTTTGGAGCCCCCCTCCCAAAACAATCACTGAATAGATATGGCGACTACTGGATGGCATATATTCTGTACTAGCTATCCCCTGCCACACGTTGCTGTGCCCCAGTCTGTGTATATGTGTATTGTGTGTGTATATGTGTGTATATATTTGTGTATATCTATATAAATAAAAATGTAATGTTCGTTTGTGGGATTAACAGAACTCAAAAACCGGTGGGCGAATTGACACCAGATTTGGACACAAGAGCAATCTATGTCCTTCACTCAAAAATGTTCCTCCCAAAAAAACAATAAGACCTTTAAATTTTAAAAAAGAAAAACAGAACACAGTGCATGCGTGCAAACCCAAGAAACTCCCAGATGTCCAGAAGAGACTTTAAAAGCCAAAAATAAAAAAAAATTACATTACAATTCAGGCGCAAAACCACATATATACATATATACACAAATATATACACACATATACACACACAATACACATATATTGTTTTGCGCCTGCGTTGTAATGTAATTTTTTTTTTATTTTTGGCTTTTAAAGTCTCTTCTGCTGTGTTTTTCAGTGTTTTTATGAGTGATGGTTACTTGTTGGCCTGATAAGTAGCACAGTTTGGTGGTACAGAAAATTAAGTAATGAGAAAGTCTGCTTAATAATAATAGCAACAGCAATAATAGTATTAGTAATAATAGAATCCTAGGGAAATAGAGGGAGAAACCGTGGAGGCCGTGACAGACTTTGTATTTCTAGGTGCAAAGATTACTGCAGATGCAGACTGTAGCCAGGAAATCAGAAGACGCTTACTTCTTGGGAGGAGAGCAATGTCCAATCTCGATAAAATAGTGAAGAGTAGAGACATCAGACTGGCAACAAAGATCCGCCTAGTCAAAGCCATGGTATTCCCTGTAGTCACCTACGGATGTGAGAGCTGGACCTTAGGGAAGGCTGAGCGAAGGAAGATCGATGCTTTTGAGCTGTGGTGTTGGAGGAAATTTCTGAGAGTGCCTTGGACTGCGAGAAGATCCAACCAGTCCATCCTCCAGGAAATAAAGCCCGACTGCTCACTGGAGGGAAAGATACTAGAGACAAAGTTGAAGTACTTTGGCCACATCATGAGGAGACAGGAAAGCCTAGAGAAGACAATTATGCTGGGGAAAGTGGAAGGCAAAAGGAAGAGGGGCCGACCAAGGCAAGATGGATGGATGGCATCCTTGAAGTGACTGGACTGACCTTGAGGGAGCTGGGGGTGGTAACGGCCGACAGGGAGCTCTGGCGTGGGCTGGTCCATGAGGTCACGAAGAGTCGGAGACGACTGAACGAATGAACAACAAAGAGTAGGAAGAGACCTCCAAGGGTCATCCAATTCTGCCCCACAATCAAAGCACTCCTGACAGATGGACATTCACCCTCTGCTTAATAATAATAATAATAATAATAATAATAATAATAATAATAATAGAAGAATTTTAGGGTAGGAAGGGACCTCAAAGGGCCATCCAGTACAGCCCTTTCTGCTATAAAGGATAAACACAATCAAAGCACTCCTGATAAATGGCCATTCAGCCTCTGATTAAGAAGAAGAAGAAGTGGAGGAGGAGGAGGAGGAGGCATCTGGGAGTTTCTTGGGTTTGCACGCATGCACTGTGTTCTGTTTTTCCTTTTTAAAATTTAAAGTTCTTATTGTTTTTTGGGAGGAATTTTTTTGAGTGAAGGACATATATTGCTTTGAATGGTGTCTTGTGTCCAAATTTGAGTTGTTAATCCCACAAATGAACATTACATTTTTATTTATATAGATTAGAAACTAGAGCCGATGTGGTCTATCCAATGCAATTTCCCAAATCAGCACCTCAAATAACCAAACTGAATCTAAAGTTGACCAAAAACTGATTCGTAACCCTTTTGGTAATAATGTTGGAGAGTGGTCCCTGGTCAAAGTGGCCCCTGGTCAAAAAAAAAGGCTGGAAACCCCTGGTGTAAAGCCAGTCTGAATGTTGCAATTAGCAAGCTTGAATAGCATTGAGTACCCATGAAGCTGCAAAGTAAATCAGTGAGAGTATCTAACTGTTGTTGCTTGAAGACATCCTCTGTTTTGGAGGTGTTAAATGGCAATTTGATTGTTTGCTATCTGGAGTTCCCCTGTTTTTGAGTGGTGTTTGTTATTAACTGTCTTGATTCTGGTATTTTTTAACCAGTATATATGCACTCCACTTGCCTTACTGCCAACAGAACCTCTGAAGATGCCAGCCACAGATGCAGGTGGAACGTCAGGAGAGAATGCTGCTGGAACATGGTCATACAGTCCAAAAAACTCACAGCAACCCAAAAGTAAAGATCTCAATACAAATCACACAGATGTAAAGAACAATCCCCCCACTCACAGGAACAAAACTATAAAGATGCTGGGTTGCTGTGAGTTCTCCGGGCTGTATGGCTATGTTGCAGACGCATTCTCTCCTGACGTTTCACCATATATCATATATCTTCATAAGCCTATCTATATAACTATAGGCAACTTGGAAGGCCACCATACTCGGATATTGAGGGATCGCCTAGGTAAGTAAGAACTACTCCCAACTTTCATGAAAGTGGAGGGTCAACTATATTTCTGAATCAAACTGTGGTCTGAAAGTCTCCACCAGAGGTCGTTGCAGTAGCAAGAAACAGAAGGAAAAGCAAGAGCACACATTACAGGTGGATGGACTCATCCGAGGAAGTTACAACTATTCTGAAGTTGCTAAACTTGAGCATGGCCGTGGGCAACTGGTGTTCTTGGAAAGTCCACATAGCTAGAGTCACCCTAAGTCAGGCATGGCCAAACTTGGGCCTCCAGGTGTTTTGGACTTCAACTCCCACAATTCCTAACAGCCGGCAGGCTGTTAGGAATTGTGGGAGTTGAAGTCCAAAACACCTGGAGGGCCCAAGTTTGCCCATGCCTGCCTTAAGTCAAAGTCAACTTGACAGCAATCGATAACAACAACAACAAAGGTGAACATAACTCATCATTCTTTTTGGAACGAGGACTCACCATGCACACTAACTTGTTCTCCTGGAGGTCATTCTCGGAGAAGTTCTCCATGCTGTCGTCACCTCCGGCGATGCGCTCTCCGATCTCTCCGCTCACACGCACCACTTCCACATGCAAACGGCCTGCCACCTAATGGGAGAAATACATACCATGTGGGCCTCTGTCACCCAGAAGCCGAAACACCTCCAAACCCTAAAACATTTTGCATGTTCCTCAGTTCTTCCCCAGATCTTCAGTTTCCCTCTTTTTTGCCACTAGTTTTATTAATTTTATTTACTCTATTTGTATACCGCCTTTCTCAGCCAGTCGGCGACTCAAGGTGGTTTCCAACAAATCGGTACATATAAAAACATAATACAGATTAAAACATTAAACAATATAAAACACCACAAAAACAATAAAAACAACATCATTAGCTAGGTTCTTGTGGGTTTTTTCGGGCTATATGGCCATGTTCTAGAGGCATTTTCTCCTGACGTTTCGCCTGCATCTATGGCAAGCATCCTCAGAGGTAGTGAGGTCTGTTGGAAATAGGAAAATGGGTTTATATATCTGTGGAATGACTAGGGTGGGACAAAGAGCTCTTCTCTGCTGGAGCTAGATGTGACTGTTTCAACTGACCACCTTGATTAGCATTTGAAGGCCTGGCTGAGCCTGGGGGAATCTTTTGTTGAGAGATGTTAAGATGTGCCTGGTTGTTTCCACTCTGCTGGAGGAGGAGACCATGAAAATGAACAAAATCTGGCTACCAGTATTAAAAAACTCTAAAATTACAACAGCAAAACAGCATTGAATGTTTGCCATGTATGTATTCTGTAATCTGCTCTGAGTCCCTCGGGGAGATAGAGCGGAATATAAATAAAGTATATTATAAAGGTAAAGTATAGGTAAAGGTTTCCCCTTGACATTAAGTCTAGTCGTGTCCAACTCTGGGGGGGGGGGGTGCTCATCTCCATTTCTACACCGAAGAGCTGGCTTTATCCATAGACGTCTCCTAAGTTATGTGGCCTGCATGACTGCATGGAGCGCCGTTACCTTCCCACAGAAGCAGTACCTATTGTTCTACTTACATTTGCATGTTTTCGAACTGCTAGGTTGGCAGAAGCTGGGCCTAACAGCAGGAGCTCACCCCGCTCCCCGGATTCAAACCACCAACCTTTCAGTCAACAAGTTCAGCAGCTCAGTGGTGTAACACACTGTGCCACCATCGGGCCCTACCAAAGTATATTATTATTGAAATGCTTTTAATGTAAACCACTTTGAGTCTCCTTGTGGAAAGAAAAGGCTGGATATAAGTAAACATAATAATAATAATAATAATAATAATAATAATAATAATAATAATAAGCATCGTAGCTTCAAAATATTTTTTCTTATGATATAGTCCCAAAATCCCTTAGCCACCATAGCCACGTTGGCTAAAAGTTTTGGGAGTTGTAGTCCAGAAATGCTGCTTGCAAACCCTGTGGCTGTTGATTGAACGCATACAGAATTGCCAATTAGGGAACTCATGCACAAGTTATTGATTGGTCCCAGACTTATTAAATAGGAGAGCAGTGAGAAGAGAAGTATGGTTGAAATGAGAATGGGATATTACTCCATTTTAGCCATACCGAAGCTGAAAGTCAAAAACCAAACATTATACCCATATGTACAAGTTATAAAATTATGTCACCAAAAGAAATTGTAGAATAAGGATTCGGGGTCACTCAGGACTTGGATATGGTAAAAGACAATTGGCTATGATCAGGAAGTGAAGAATCGATTGTAATTGAGCACCGAGTTGTAATTCTCAAATAAGTGACTGGGTAAAAGCACAACCATGAGCTGATTGAGCAAAGGGTGTTGCACTCCAGAGCAGGATTCCCTCTGACGTTAAACACCACACAGTTGAGTTAAAATAGCAAGCAGTTTATTGAAGGTAATAAAAGCCAAAGCAATAAAAAGTAATCCACAGTAAAAGATAAATCCAATTAATTGGGAAGGAAAAAAGAGCAATTAATTCTCAGAGAAATAGTCCAAAGAAGTCCATGAAACTAGAGGCCTGATTTCAAAGGCAAAATAACAGCAAAGGCACTTAAAACAAGAATCAAACCAAGACAGAGGTCCAGGAACTTGGTATGAAGAACTTATTGTTAATCCAATGTTGCATCATCTGACGCTAGACTGTTGCAACCCAGAGCAGGAAACGAGACCATAAGATAACAATCCACCACACTTGACTGTGGGAAAAACAATCCCTTTTCATTGATGAAAAATGGTTACAAAATAGAAGAAAATGCAAAGTCAAAAAGCCACAGTAAAACTCAGCAGTCAGGAATATCCATGAACTAGATCAATATCCAAAAGCAACACTGTAAAAACCTGGAACCTGTTAGCAATCCACTAACCGTACTTGGAGCACTAGAAGCCTCTTGAGATGTAGGCCACGGGAAACGGGAAATTTGCCAAGGTAATTCCTCAGTCTAAACCAGGGGTCCCCAAACTTTTTGAACAGAGGGCCGGGTCACAGTCCCACCAACTGTTGGGGGGCCGGATTATAATTTGAAAAAAAAATGAATGAATTCCTATGCACTCTGCACATATATTATTTGCAGTGCAACCCCCCCCCCCAAAAAAATCAAAAAACAAAGACCCACACTTCTATATAAATAAAAATGTAATGTTTGTTTGTGGGATTAACAGAACTCAAAAACCACTGGACGAATTGACACCAATTTTGGACACAAGACACCTAACAACCCAATGTATGTCCTTCACTCAAAAAAAAATGATTTTGTCATTTGGGAGTTGTAGTTGCTGGGATTTATAGTTCACCTACAATCAAAGAGCATTCTGAACCCCATCAACGGTGGAATTGAACCAAACTTGGCACACAGTTCTCCCATGACCAACAGAAAATACTGGAAGGGTTTGGTGGGCAGTGTCCTTTGGTTTTGGAGTTGTAGTTCACCTGCCTCCATCAATCACTGTGGACTCAATGATAGATCTGGACCAAACTTGGCACTGATATTCCATATGCCCAAATGTGAATACTTGTGGAGTATGGGGAAAATAGAATCTTGATGTTTGAGAGTTGTAGTTGCTGGGATTTATAGTTCACCTACAATCAAAGAGCATTCTGAACCCCATCAATGGTGGAATTGAACCAAACTTGGCACAAAGTTCTCCCATGACCAACGGAAAATACTGGAAGGGTTTGGTGGGCAGTGTCCTTTGGTTTTGGAGTTGTAGTTTACCTGCCTCCTTGGAGACCAGAGCGGCCAGAGCAGAGGGTTCCAGCAATGGTCGGAGCAGCGCCGGGTGGGCATGACCAGAGAACGCCAGCTTTCCCTGGCGTTCCCACCTGCCGCCGCTGGCCACGGCCACCCGCCGCCGCTCTGGCCTTCGCAGGAACCCTCTGCTCCAGCCGCTCTGGTCTCCAAGGAGGCAGGTAAACTACAAAAGGCTTTGAGTTGTAGTTTACCTGCCTCCTTGGAGACCAGAGCGGCCGGAGCAGAGAGTTCCCGCTATGGGCGGAGTGGCGCTGGGTGGGCGTGGCCAGAGAAGTGTTCCCTGGCCACGCCCACCTGGCACCGCTCCGGCCTTCGCAGGAACCCTCTGCTCCGGCCGCTCTGATCTCCAAGGAGGCAGGTAAACTACAAAAGGCTTCTCCCTCCCACACGAGCATAAGGGCCGGAGCAGAGGGTTCCGCGATGGGCGGAGCGGTGCCGGGTGGGCGTGGCCAGGCCAGGCCAGGTTGCGCAGGCCGGAGAAATGCCCTCGGCGGGCCGCATACGGCCCACGAGCTGTAGTTTGGGGACCCCTGGTCTAAGCGATGCCTGATCTAACGAGACAACCCGGCAAGAGGCACTTAAAACTGAAGAAACTGTTTCGTGACACGCCTCCAGGCTTTGAAGCCTGTGTTTCCTTTTCCCTTAATCTGCTTGACCTTCGCGGACTCTGCGATTCACTCCTGTTTTTCCAAATCTGTCTCTTTCTATCCTCATTAAGGAAGCCAGGTGTTAGCTCCTCTGGGGAGCTATCACCGCTTGGCTCTGCAACATTCTCATCAGAATGTGTAGTTTCACTTTCCAAGCCACTGACCTCAGAATCAACATTTTCATTACCATCAGGGAAAAATACATGTTCAGTAGCATCAGGAAATACCATCAGAGAATCAGGTTCAGGTTCAGCAATCAGAGAATCAGGTTCAGGTTCACACGCAGGCTGAACCCCAACATAGACTCAGTATTTGGCACTTATGTCTCTACTTTGTTTCCCAAACAGCTAAGAACGGATTTTTCCTTAACTTTGGATGTACTTCTAGCTGAGCGCCTTCATTCCTGATTTGTTTGTCTTTGCTGGCTAAGGCTTCATTAAAATCTGCACCTGGAGATAACTGACCAGGGGATTGTGGTGCAAAGCCTTTCCCAGACTCAAGACCTTGAGAATCCCTTTGCAGCAATACAGGCCTCTGTAAGCCATCAACTGAACTGCATTCAAGCCCCAGATCTCTAAAACCAGGCCCAGGAAACAAACCATCATCCCCATTCCCTTCAGGAACATGTTCAAGGACAGCATCCTCATTCCCATCAGAGGAATCAACTTGAAAATGAACAATATTGTCATTCTCATCATCCAAAGCACCTTGATCATGCTTTTCATCTCAAGAACAGACAAGCATCCCGAGCTCTGAGGATCAGCTGGGAAGGAATCCCACTGGAGCATATACCTGGGAGTCACTCTGGACCGTGCTCTTACCTACAAGAAGCACTGCCTGAACATCAAACAAAAAATAGGTGCTAGAAACAATATCATACGAAAGCTGACTGGCACAACCTGGGGATCACAACCAGATACAGTGAAGACATCTGCCCTTGCGCTATGCTACTCTGCTGCTGAGTATGCATGCCCAGTGTGGAACACATCTCACCACGCTAAAACAGTGGATGTGGTTCTTGATGAGACATGCCGCATTATCACGGGGTGTCTGCTCCCTACACCACTGGAGAAATTACACTGTTTAGCTGATATTGCACCACCTGACATCCGCCGGGAAGTAGCAGCCAATAGTGAAAGGACCAAGGCAGAGACATCTCCAGCTCATCCCTTGTTTGGGTATCAGCCAGCACGCCAATGACTTAAATCAAGACATAGTTTTCTAAGATCTACAGAGACATTCGCTGGAACACCACAGCAAGTGAGAGTCCAAAAGTGGCAGGCTCAAACCCAGTACCTCAACCAATGGCTGATACCAAATGAGAGACTCCCCTCTGGGCACACAGAAGACTGGGTGACTTGGAAGGCGCTGAACAGACTGCGCTCTGGCACCACGAGATGCAGAGCCAACCTCAAGAAATGGGGCCAGAAAGTGGAATCCTCAACATGCGAGTGAGGAGAAGAGCAAACCACTGACCACCTGCTGCAATGCAACCTGAGCCCTGCCACATGCACCATGGAGGACCAACACCAGAGGCACTCCAAGTGGCCAGATACTGGTCAAAGGACATTTAATCAACTACCAAGCTTGATAACTCTGTTTTGTCTGTTTGTTAAAAATTTGTTAAAAATGTAATACAATTGACTGGTTGATACTGACACGATAAATAAATAAATTCCCATAATCCAAAGCAATCTGATCATTAGACACAATCACAGGCTGAACAGGCTGACATACAACAAAGGGAGCATTTGGAGGAGTTACCTCTCCTTTCTGATTGATGATGGGCACCGCATATTGAAGTTTGACGTCAAAAAAGAGGGACTCAAGGAAGACGTTGGCGACGCCAATGAGGCTGTGGTTCTCCTGCTCGTCGTAGAATGGATCCGCTCGCCTGAAGTAAGCCCTCATGACCTTTGGCGGAAAGAAAGGAAAAGAAGCAATTACGATTACCTTTCCTACTGGTATGTCTTTTTGGAATTGTTTATCAGTTTCCCTTCTTGGAGCATCTGGACGTCCCCTGGGCAACGTCCTTGCAGATGGCCAATTCTCTCACATCAGAAGCAACTTGCAGTTTCTCAAGTTGCTCCTGACATGACAAAACAAAAACAAACAAAAAAAAACTTGGTGACACAAAGACAGGAATACTGCCATCAATGGGTCTTTGAAGGTCCTCTCCCACATCTTCCCATAGGGAATTTCTGCAACGGATGGTACAAAAGGAAGGGACGGGCTTTAGCATAGCTGGTTAATCACCAGCAGTAATAAGATCACACCAATCGAAAGGTTGGCAGTTCGAAGCCTGGGACAGGGTGAGAACCCGACCTTCAGCCCAGCTCACTTTCCATCTAAGCAGTTCGAAAACAGTCGTGAGCTGTGAGTAGTTTCAGTGGGGAAGTATTTTATGGCACCATAAAAAGGAAGTAACAGAAACATGCTGGTGATCAAAAAGAATGGAAGAAGTTTGTGATCTGTGATCAAGGACTCTCCGTCATAGAGGATGGAGCGACAGCACCCCTGTATGGCCAGAATCGAACACAACCTCCAGGACGCCGAAGTTGGGAAAAAATACCTCTATCTATTGTCTGTCCTATCTGTGTAACGGCATTGTTTGCCGAGTATATGTTCTGGGATCTACCCTGGGTCCCCTTTGGGATGAGAAGGGCGGAATATACATTCTGTAAATAAATAAGACCTCACCAGTAAACCTCATAACCTCTTGCAGGAATAGATAGTAAGATGTTCTCTCCAAATTCTGAGTTCCTAAGCCAAGTAGGGCTTTAAGTGTCATTAACAGCACCATGAATTAATATTGGAAGCCTATGGCTACTACTTCCATCATCCCCATGACATTATCCATGTGGGTTTGTGAGATACTAGGAGTTTCAGTACCAAATAAGTGACTTTTTGTGATGCTGGAAGAATTTCCTCTACGTACCAAGTTGTCCTCCTCGCAGTCCTTCCATTCCTGGTAGAGGTCCCTCATGTCGACTAGCCGGTTTTCTAGTTTCTCCAGGGACCAGATCTGTTTGCCTTTGCCTTTCCGTCTCACCTGAATGGCTGGCTCACTGAGAAGGGCACCTCGCTGATGGGGGGAAAAAATCAGGGTCAAAGAAATGCAACAATGGAACAGAGACACCACTGGTGTTGTCTCTACCAGCACACTGAGTCCCAAAGATGCAGCCATGTTTTTTCTTCTTCCCCTTCTAAGATTACAAGTGTTGTCCATGGTCATAATTTACCTATATGTGTTGGTAAGTAACTTCGTGGTGACACCAATACCTAAGACACTGGCAGTCACTTTTAGTAGCTACAGCAGGCATGGGCAGACTTTGGCCCTCCAGGTTTTTTTGGACTTCAACTCCCTCAATTCCTAACAGCCTATCAGTTGTTAGGAATTGTGGGAGTTGGAAGTCCAAAACACCTGGTGGGCCCAAGTTGGCCCATGCCTGAGCTACAGGGTTGACACTTTCATTAGGGCTCATTTCCTGGAAATGTATGATGCACTCATGGAGCTGGAAGAAGTTTAATGGACCGTGTAATTCAGAGGTGTCCAACTTGTGGTCTTCCAGATGTTTGGGCCTCCATCTCCCAGAAGAGCTAATCAACTTATTCAATGGACAGGAATTCTGGAAGCTGAAGTCCAAAACACCTGGAGGGCCACAAGTCTGACACTACATGCAAGCAATTGTTCCATTGCTGAACCACTCTTAGTGTCAAGAAGTTCCTCATAATGTTCCTCATAACGTTTCTCATAATGTTCACTAGAAATCTATTCTTGACCTAGCCTTACTCTCTGAGGCAGCAGAAAGCAATCCTGTCTCTGCCTCTCCTTTATTTGAGATGCTTAAAAAGTTCAATGGTTTCACCCTCGAGTCTCCTTATCCACGGATTCAATATCCACGGTTTCACTTACTTAAACTCCGAAGAATTTCCCCAATCCGGAAGTGTTTGTGAGTCTTTCCTCTAGTGCAGTGGTTCTCAACCTGGGGTCCCCAGATGTTTTTGGCCTTCAATTCCCAGAAATCCTAACAGCTGGTAAACTCGCTGGGATTTCAGGGAGTTGTAGGCCAAAAACATCTGGGGACCCCAGGTTGAGAACCATTGCTCTAGTGTAATTCTATGGTATGCTTCCAACCAAAGTATAGATGAATAAAATGTTCAAGTATCAACTTGGACAGTGGTTCTCAACCTGGGGTCCTCAGATGTTTTTGGCCTTCAACTCCCAGAAATCCTAACAGCTGGTAAACTGGCTGAGATATGTGGGAGTTGTAGGCCAAAAACATCTGGGGACCCCAGGTTGAGAACCACTGCTCTAGTGTAATTCTATTATGGTATGCTTCCAACCAAAGTATAGATGAATAAAATGTTCAAGTATCAACTTGGACAGTGGTTCTCAACCTGGGGTCCCCAGATGTTTTTGGCCTTGAACTCCCAGAAATCCTAACAGCTGGTAAACTGACTGAGATTTCTGGGAGTTGTAGGCCAAAAACATCTGGGGACCCCAGTTGATAACCATTGAACTAGGAGATCTTGGATGTACGATTACGGGAGCCATGCTGAATCAATCTCAGATGTTTGGGACCCCCTTTCATGGAGAGTATGAATATTATATCCAACACAACTCTACCTTAGTAATGTCAGAACACCTAGCTACCTCACTGTTGAACCTTAATTATTATTATTTATTATTTCTCGCACTTCTACCCCACCCTTCTCAACCCTCGAGGGGGGACTCAGGGCGGTTTACAAAAAGGCACAATTCGATGCCAACACAACAACAAGGTAAAAAATAAAACATATAAGCAGTAATTAAAACAATTAAAACAATACATTATACATCACAATCCCTAAAAACAATCTAGTGCTCAACGTTTACCAGCTCATAGGCCGTAAATTCAAATTCCACATTGTCCAATCCATCAATTCTAGTCATCGTTTGTCCCTTATCTATCCGCCAGATTACCCGAAGGCCTGGTCCCAAATCCATGTTTTTAATTTCCTTCTAAAGAAGAGGAGGGATGTCGATGACCTAATTTCCCCGGGGAGTGAGTTCCACAGGTGAGGGGCCACCACCGAGAAGGCCCTGCTCCTCGTCCCCACCAATCTCACTTGTGATAGAGGTGGGGTCGAGAGAAGTGCCCCCCCCCAGAAGGTCTTAAACTCCGAGGCGGGACGTAGAAGGAGATGCGTTCGGACAGATACGCTGGGCCGGAACCATATAGGGTTTTGTAGGTCAAAACCAGCACTTTGAATTGTGCTTGAACTGGATCGGCAGCCAGTGGAGCTGACATAGCAGGGGGTGGTATGCTCCCCGTATGATGCTCTGGTGAGGAATCTAGCTGCCGCCCGCTGGACTAATTGACGTTTCCGGACAGTCTTCAAAGGCAACCCCACGTAGAGTGCGTTGCAGTAATCTATTCGGGATGTAACAAGAGCGTGGACCACTGTGGCCAGATCTGACTTCCCAAGGTACGGGCGCAACTGGCGCACAAGTTTTAATTGTGCAAAAGCTCCAACTACCAAACTCTTAACTACCAAACTTCTACGAATCCCACATCTGCATGCAATTATCAGTTAAAATGATCATTTTGGGAAAAGCCAGGAATATTAGCCTAGATTTCTACTTCTCACAACAGACAACAAACAGAACTGAGTAAGTCCAGGTGCCTCACCTTTCGGTTTGCGTTAAGGCTCGAGGCCGGGATCTGCAGGGTGACCTTGTATTCTGTCCGCTTGTCCATCTCTTCAGCTATGAAACTGGCTTCCCGTGTGTACAGGTTGGCCTTCATGATCTGCTCTCTCAGCTTCCTCAAGCTGTAGCTCAGCATTTCTTCTCTATTTTGGGGGGCAGAGAAAGGAAAAGAATTTCAGCGCAGAGGATTCGCAAGAGAGGACTTCCCAGTAAAGATTTGTTTTGTGTTGGTGGGGGAATCTAGAAATTGTGTGTGTGTGTTTTTGCAATGCTGACTGTGCTGGAGGGTGTGAGTGCCATAGCAACGCTGCACAATGTTATGTGGATTGAATCCTCTAACAGAGAGTTTAAGGGAACTATTCATGGCCTCACCAGGGACAGAAGTGACTTGGCACCATTTGGTGCCACGCTGTTCCTAGTTTTTTCGCTACCAGCTTGCAAAACAATGGTACAGCTGTCAGTCATGTACTGCGTGGGCTTGTCTTCATCCACCTCTGCTTCCTATCCACAATAACAAGATTGAAGGTCTGCCATCAGCTGGGTCTCTGCCCACAGGCTGATGGGTTCTGGAGTCATCGTGGCCAAACGTTAACATCTGCCCAGAGGCACAAAAGTGTTCACTTATATTCGTGACCTCGTTAAGATTCATTGTGCAATTTGAGGCTGGAAAGAGCTAAGCTGAAAACCAACTCTTTGTTTACAAAGTCCTCATAGCTATACAGCAGGTGTGGGCCAACTTGGCCTCAAGGTGTTCTGCACTTCAGCTCCAGTGAATTAACATACATCCTGCTTATCAGATATTTACATTATGATTCATAACAGGAGCAAAATGACAGTTCTGAAGCAGAAATGATAATAACGTTATGGTTGGGGGTCACCACAACATGAGGAACGGTATTAAGGGGTTGCGGCATTAGGAAGGTTGGGAAACATTGACCTAGAGCAGTGTTTCTCAACCTGGGGGTTGGGACCCTTGAGTGGATCGCAAAGGGGTGGTCACCAGAAAACACAGTATTTTCTCATTGGTCATGGGGGTTCTGTGTGGGAAGTTTGGCCCAATTCTTTCGTTGGTGGAGTTCAGAATGCTTTTTGATTGTAGGTTAACTACAGCAACGACAACTCCCAAATGTCAAGGTCTATTTCCTCCAAACTCCACCAGGGGTCACATTTGGGCATATTGAGTATCCGTGCCAAGTTTGGTCCATCAGATCCATCATTGTTAGAGTCCACAGTGCTCTCTGGAGGTAGGTGAAGTACAACTCCCAAACTCAAGGCCAATGCCCACCAAACCCTCCAGTATTTTCTGGTGGTCATAGGAGAACTGTGTGCCAAGTTTGGTTCAATGCCATTGTTGGTGGAGTTCAGAATGCTCTTTGATTGTAGGTGAACTATAAATCCCAGCAACGACAACTCCCAAATGATAAAATCAACCCCTCCCCCTGTATTCAAATTTGAGCATTTCAGGTGTTTGTGCCAAATTTGGCTCAGTGAATGAAAATACATCCTGCATATCAGATATTTACATTACGACCCATCACAGTAGCAAAATTACAGTCATGAAGTAGCAACAAAAATAATGTTCTGGTTGTGGGGCACCACAACATGTGGAACTGTATTAAAGGGTCACGGCATTAGGAAGGTTGAGAAAGAATGACCTAGAGATTCCTAGTGACAACATTTTAAATCAAAACAATGAATTGTTGTTGTTCATTCGTTCAGTCGTCTCCGACTCTTCGTGACCTCATGGACCAGCCCACGCCAGAGCTCCCTGTCGGCCGTCACCACCCCCAGATCCTTCAAGGTCAGTCCAGTCACTTCAAGGATGTCATCCATCCATCTTGCCCTTGGTCGGCCCCTCTTCCTTCTACCTTCCACTTTCCCCAGCATAATTGTCTTCTCTAGGCTTTGCTGTCTCCTCATGATGTGGCCAAAGGACTTCAACTTTGTCTCTACTCTCCTTCCCTCCAGTGAGCAGCCGGGCTTTATTTCCTGGAGGATGGACTGGTTGGATCTTCTCGCAGTCCAAGGCACTCTCAGCACTTTCCTCCAACACCACAGCTCAAAAGCATCTATCTTCCTTCGCTCAGCCTTCCCTAAGGTCCAGCTCTCACATCCGTAGGTTACTACAGGGAAGACCATGGCTTTGACTAGGCGGATCTTTGTTGCCAGTCTGATGTCTCTACTCTTTACTATTTTAATTTTGTTTTTGTGGCTGCCACAAACTATGTTGTTTTGGATCAAACTCTATGAGATATTCATTGGAAAACTATAGCAAAATGTGCTATAGCAGGGTGTCACACAAAACCAAAGTTTTTGCAGTTTAACAAACTTTTCCCATGTTTTTATGATCAAACCAATTAGGAAATGACATTTATAACCCAGGAACAAAAATCGTGTTACATAGTGCACTCAAATCCTCAAAAGCCAACCGCACAAATGTGGAGAGTGGACTAAAGAGGAGAAACCTGCTGGTTCTGAGCCCTGCTGAACATTCCCGTCACTCACCTCTCTTCGGACCATTGTCGCAGCCGCTGCTGAGCGCTGGGAGAGTGGAAAGAGAACCTATCCGTGGCCCGGTAGTACTGCTTTTCTGGAGAGAGGCGCCTTCGGAGCTGCTCCAACTCGTGTTCGTACATCAGCCTTTGCCGCTCCAAGGCGGACCGCTTCTCCTCTTCGTGCTGCTGTTCCAGACTTTGCAAAATGGACTGCATAGGATCTAGGCAGCAGACAAAAAAAAGGTGTAACTTTAAATTATTTTCTTCCTTCAAAACTAAGAAATAATAATTTCAAAAATTTTCTGCTCTGTTGGAATGAGAGTCGAACGGTTTTGTCCCGTTTTTGCACTGCAAGACTTTCTTTGCAGAAAATTGGTTTCTTAGAGAAATTTGGATTTTTTTGTGTGTTTAAAAATGTGCCAAAACAAGACCTGCTTCGTCTTCTTACCATTTCCACCCAGCGCTTTCATGGTCACCTCCATCTGGGCATATTCATAGCTGAAGCTGATCTCGCTGGATACTTCACTGGAGCTGTCGCCATCGAGATCCAGCTGCTCGGAGCTGTTGCTTCCTTTCATTGAGCTGTCTTTGTCTTCGTCCTCCGTTTCTACCTTCTTCTTCTTTTTTGGCAAATTCAGCCTGGAAGAAGGAATGGAAACGTTAAGGCAAATTGGCAAGTTGACTTTTGATTAATTGACAAACTAATCATGAAAATTAAATGTCATCATCCAAACATCCTAGGAGATAAATGGCTTACCAATTCTAGCAGGACATTGCATATTACTAAGCATGGTGCAGATGGAGACAGACTGACGTGGTCTATGAGGTATAATCCCAAATAGTAAGGGTGAACAATGGTGTGAAGGTCTGGGAGATATTTCCATTATGATCTCCAGCATCTCTCCCAATGTATCGGCTTTATTGACCACTAGCTGTACCCACCCCGCGTAGCTGTGGCCAACCTTTCCTCCTTCTTTCTCTCCTTTCTTTCTCTCCTTTCCTTCCTTCCTTCTCTTCCTCTTCCCTTTCTTCCCCCCTTTTCTTTCCCTTCCTCTTTCTCCCTGTTCTTCCTTCTCTACCTATTCTTGGACTGCAACTCCCAGCAGTTCTCCTGATTGATCGACCTACCTACTTATCTCTATCTAATCTATCTGGAGGATTGCTGGGAGTTGCAGTCCTTTTCTTCCTCCCTCTCTTTCCTTCCTTCCTTTCCCCTTTTTCTTTCCTTCTCTCCTTCCTTCCTTCTCTTCCTCCTCCCTTCCCCCCCTTTTTTCTCCCTGTTCTTCCTTCTCTACCTATTCTTGGACTGCAACTCCCAGCAGTTCTCCTGATCGATCTACCTACCTACCTATCTCTATCGAATCTATCTATCTGGAGGATTGCTGGGAGTTGCAATCCAGGAATAGGAACTGGGATGCTCTCAAAGAAATCCAAGGAGAAGAAAGCTTGCATCTTGGAAGCACTGGGTTTGGATCATTCTCCTCTCCTAAAGGGCCTGGTCTAGGGGATGCTGGGAGCTGTAGTCCGGAAGACAGTGTGGATATGCTATTGTGTGCTTTGTTTGCCGGGGGAGTCGTCTTTGCACATGCACTGTAGTGTCTTTTTGCTTTTTTGGATTTTTACGTTTCTTCTGTTGTGTTTTTCAGTGTTTTTATGAATGATGGTCACTCGTTGGCTTGATAGGTGTATTGTGTCCAAATTTGGTGTCAATTCAGTGGTTTTTGAGTTATGTTAATCCCACAAACAAACATTAAATTGGGTTGTTGTAGGTTTTTTGGGCTATATGGTCATATTCTAGGAGCATTCTCTACTGACGTTTCGCCTGCATCTATAGCAAGCATCTTCAGAGACCTCACCACCTCTGAGGATGCCTGCCATAGATGCAGGCGAAACGTCAGGAGAAAATGCTCCTAGAACATGGCCATATAGCCCGAAAAACCCACACCAACCAGTGATTCCAGCCATGAAAGCCTTCGAGAATACAAACATTACATTTTTATTTATATAGATGTTTAAGCCAAAACGGCAACTGGAAGTGATACCATATTATATCTTGTTAGTATTTGGACTTTGGGGGATGAAACAAATATGAAAAATACATATTGGGATGCAAGTTCTGAGAATATGGGGGGAATGGGTACAAATAAGAGAACCAAGCAGGCACAATGGTATGAATGTTGGAGTATGACTCTAGAGAACAGGATTTTAATACCTACTCGGCCATAAAAATGCACTGTTTGACACTCGGAGAAAAGCAATTGCAAACTCCCTCTGAACAAATCATGTTAAGAAGACCTCATAGTCTTCTTGGCATGATTGGGGTGACCATAAGTTGGAAATGACATGAAGGCTGAAACTTGACTTGGCCACGGTGGTCCATGCTCTGGTTACACCCTGAATAGACTACTGCAATGCTCTCAACGTGGGGCTGCCGTTCAAAACTTCTCGGAAGCTCCAATTAGTCCAGCGGTTGGCGTCCAGGTTGTTATCTGGAGCTGGGTACAGGGAGCGTACCACTCCTCTGTTGCACCAACTCCACTGGCTGCCGATTAGCTTCCAGGCACAATTCAAAGTGCTGGTTTTAGCCTTTAAAGTCCTGAACGGTTCTGGCCCAGATTACCTGTCCGAACGTATCTCCTGCTATGAACCATCACGAAGCTTAAGAGCATCAGGAGAGGCCCTGCTCTCGATCCCACCACTCTCGCAAACGCAGTTGGTGAGGATGAGAGACAGGACCTTCTCGGCAGTGGCCCCCCGTCTGTGGAGCTCTCTCGCTAAGGATGTCAGGTTGGCCACCTCCCTCGTTTTAGAAGACAACTAAAGACCTGGCTCTGGGGCCAGGCGTTCAGTTAGAGGCCAGCAGCAAAAGGAAAAGGAAATTTGGATTTTGTGATATGGATTCTCCCGGCTCGGTTTTACTGGCACGTTAATCTATTAATTTATTGTCGAATGCTTTCATGACTGGAATCACTGGGTTGTTCTAGGTATTTTGGGGCTGTATGGCCATGGTCTAGAGCAGGGGTCCTCAAACTAAGGCCTGGGGGCCAGATACGGCCCTCCAAGGTTATTTACCCGGCCCTCGCTCAGGGTCAACCTAAGTCTGAAATGACTTGAAAGCACACAACAACAACAACAACAACAACAACAACAACAACCCTATCTCATCAGTGAAACGCAGGCCCACACTTCCCAATGAAATATTAATAAGTTTATATTTGTTAAAATTGTCCATAATTTAAATTATTGTATTGTTTTGAAGTGTTTTTTGCACTACAAATAAGATATGTGCAGTGTGCATGTTTTTTCAAATTATAAAGTTTGAGGACCCCTGGTCTAGAGGCATTCTCTCCTGACGTTTCGCCTGCATCTATGGCAAGCATCCTCAGAGGTAGTGAGGTCTGTTGGAACTAGGAAAAGAGGTTTATATATCTGTGGAATGACCAGGGTGAGACAAAGGACTCTTGTCTGCTGGAGCTAGGTGTGAATGTTTCAACTGACCACCTTGATTAGCATACAATGGCCTGACTGTGCCTGGAGCAAACTTTTGTTGAGAGGTAATTAGATGTCCCTGCCTGCTTCCTCTCTGTTGTTGTGTTGTTGCAATTTTAGAGTTTTTTTTAAAATACTGGTAGCCAGATTTTGTTCATTTTCATGGTCTCCTCCTTTCTGTTGAAATTGTCCACATGCTTGTGGATTTCAATGGCTTCTCTGTGTAGTCTGACATGGTGGTTGTTGGAGTGGTCCAGCATTTCTGTGTTCTCAAATAGTATGCTGTGTCCAGGCTGGTTCACCAGGTGCTCTGTTATGGCTGATTTCTCTGGTTGAAGTAGTCTGCAGTGCCTTTCATGTTCCTTGATTCATGTTTGGGCACTCCGTCTGGTGGTCCCTATGTAGACTTGTCCACAGCTGCAATAAATCTTATCCACAGCTACAACAAATCTATTAATTTATTGTAAAATTTTACTGATTATGTTGTATAATGTTTTAAAATTATTTTATTGTGAATTGTAATTTTTGTGGTATTTATGCTGCTAGCATCCTCTGATGCTCATGTGAGGCCACGCTGAGTCCTGCTTGTGGGGAGAAAGGCAGGATATAAATATATGAAATAAACAAACAAACAAACTTGAACTTGAGAATTGTATCATTTTTTAAATGGGAGAGGTCTAGAGAGCTGGATGGAGGGCACTGAAGGGACCTTTGGAGGTGCAAAAAGGGGTTATGAGGCTGTATGCAACCCACAAGACACAGTTCCCTTCCTAAGTCACACAGTTGACAACCTTTGACTTTCCAAGCATTTTGACCTGCAACTCCCATCAGCCCAACCCAGGATGACCATTGGGAAGAGAATGCAGGGATTGTTCACCAAAACACCTGGGGGGCAAAAGGCTAGAGAGACTAATTACTAGTTTTCCACTAAACCGAAGGAAACCTCCACAATGGTATGATTGTTGCTTTGTGCAGCTGCCATATAGTCCAACAAAGTTGTTATTGTCTTATACTTTTATATGACATCCTTTTGCTAATAAAGGAAGTCAAGGCAGCACACAAGTGAGTAAAATCAAACAAAAACTTCAGTACCTGTGTGTGTATTGTGTGCATGCGTGTGTACGTAGAGGCAGCAATTAAGAATGAGACCCGATTTGTGTGAATGATAATGGACTGACCTGACTATGATTTCAAACCTGCGTGATTTAAACAATGCTTTAGTAATGTTAAAGCATTAAAAAAATTAATTGCTTTTATTATTTATTACTGTTGTTGCCATTGAAGGAATGCCTGTTGTGAAGCCGCCTTGAGTCCCCCTTCGGGGGTGAGAAGGACGGGATACAAATATGAGAAATAAAATGCATAAATAAATGCGTGTATCTATACACACACACACACACATGTATATATGCACACACACATATGTATGTATGACCACTGGACGAATTGGGAAAAGAAGACATATGGGATCAAATTCTGAGAAAAAAATATATTTTGTTGTTGTTCATTCGTTCAGTCGTCTCCGACTCTTCGTGACCTCATGGACCAGCCCACGCTAGAGCTCCCTGTCGGCCGTCACCACCCCCAGCTCCTTCAAGGTCAGTCCAGTCACTTCAAGGATGCCATCCATATATAACAATAATTTACAATAAGTTATTGGAGTGGACTACTGAGACAGAAGTAATAAAAGAGTGCATGATTAAATGGGCAAAGAACATCAGCAGACAGATACAATATAAAGAATGGGAACAAATTTGGACAAAAAAGATTAAATACACCTATTCAACGGACTTACAAGAAAATTGGTTTAAAATTTTTTATAGGTGGTATATGACGCCACAAAAACTAGGTATAATGTATGGCAATGTCAGAAACAAATGCTGGAAATGCGAATCACAAACAGGAACTTTCTATCATGCGTGGTGGACCTGCCCAGTGGTTAGTACGTTTTGGAAAATGATACAAGAATGTGAGAAGATTTTAGAAATAAAAATTCAGATGAAACCGGAATATTTTCTATTGGGGATAATAGATGAAGAGATGGAACTTGACCAGAATGATGAAACTTTGTTTAATTATTGCATACCACAGTAAGAATAGTTTTGGCAAAAAAGTGGAAACAGAGAGCAGTAGCCACTAAGGAAGAATGGATAAACAAAATTATTGAAATTAAAGATATGGATAAACTGACATTTGCACTGAAGGACTCATAGGGAAAATAGAATCTTGACATTTGGGAGTTGTAGTTGCTGAGATTTATAGTTCACCTACAATCACAGAGCATTCTGAACCCCACCAACGATGGAATTGGGCCAAACGTCCCACACAGAACCCCCATGCGGGCCACAGCAACGCGTGGCAGGGGATGCCTAGTAAATTCATATTTATTAAAAAAAATACGTAAAAAACCCGCGAAACAGCGAGTCCGCATAAAGTGAACCATGAAGCGAGGGAACACACACACACACACATATACACACATGCACACATATATTTATTTATATATACACAGATAGAGATAGATAGATAGAGAATGAGAATCAAAACTATTTAAAATTCATTAAAATACAATATAGGTCCAATGTCCTTTAATAAAATAATTCACGAATAAATCCCATAAGGAAACTCAGTGGTGAGTTAAGTCTCATGTTCTGATCTTTCTGAATGTGATTTCCAGAAGAGAAGAGATGCTAGAAGGAACTTCTGCCCATGTGCCAACTTGCTCTCGGGCAACTTTTGTTCATTTTAGTGTTTAGTGTTTACAGAACCACTTCCTGATGCATGATGTCTCATTATTAACTAGCAGAAGGTCATGACACTTATGATCTTCCAACCCAGACACCTCTTGAGTGAGCTCTAATTAATCCAAGGATATGAAAGAGATCTAAAGATTATATGCCTCACACAGGAAAACACAACCATTATTTTATTTCCCTTGAGCTGAATATATAACTTTGATTTGGAATGTAAAAGGAACTGAATGACACCTAAGAGAGTTATTAGAGTCTGCAAGCTCTAAGATGCAACTCTAAGGTCTCAACAGTCAGACATAGCATATCAATAGTTTTATGTCTTTGTTAAACCAAGTCTCCTAGTGCAAAGAATCAATAGGGAAATGTGTTCTATATGTTTCTATCTAATTCTGCATTGCAACTTTAAAAGAATCTCTGGGAGACTAGTAGGAATAAAATGTTACTACTGGGAATGTGCCAGCGGTTCTCAACTTGTGGGTCGCGACCCCTTTGGGGGTCGAATGACTGTTGTGTAGACAACAGAATCTGGCCAAAAACCCCCCCCGATGGTTTCCAAAAGCTAGGTTTGGTTTAAAGTCACATCAGAGCAGTTTCCCTCTAAAGAAGAGACCTTCTCATCCACATCCCTGTCCAAGTCTTTGCAAATTCATTTCTCCTCTTAAGCATATACAGGCAGTCCCCAAGTTACAAACAAGATAGATTCTGTAGATTTGTTCTTAAGTTGAATTTGTATGTAAGCCAGAATAGGTACATTTCTTAAGTGTAACACCAGACATACATAACTACATATTGTTTTTGTGATTAATCACTATGCTGTAATTATGTTCAGTTTGTCAGATATTTACATTATGATTTGGTAACAAAATTACAGTTATGAAGTAGCCACGAAAATAATTATGGTTGGGAGTCACCACAACATGAGGAACTGTATTACGGGGTCACAGCATTAGGAAGGTTGAGAACCACTGGTCTATGCTGTGAGCTAGAACTCCCATAAACTTGTTTTAAAAAGCAAAATAGGTACTTGATAATCTCCAGAGGATTTGGGAAAGTTACTTTGTTGGGCTACACGGTAGTCCACGCTCTGGTCACATCCCGTATAGATTACTGCAACGCGCTTTACGTGGGGCTGCCCTTGAAGACTGCCCGGAAGCTTCAGATGGTCCAGCGCTCGGCAGCCAGGTTGCTAACAGGAGCGGCACTCAGGGAGCATACCACTCCTCTGTTGAGCCAGCTCCACTGGCTGCCAATCTGCTACCGGGCACAATTCAAGGTGCTGGCGTTAGCCTACAAAGCCCTAAATGGTTCCGGCCCCACTTACCTCTCCGAACGCATCTCCACCTATGAACCGACGCGGACACTAAGATCTTCCGGGGAGGCCCTGCTCTCGGTCCCGCCTGCATCACAGGCACGGTTGGCGGGGACGAGAGACAGGGCCTTCTCGGTGGTGGCCCCTCGGCTATGGAATGCCCTACCCATTGACATCAGACAGGCCCCTGCGCTGCTGGCGTTTCGAAAGGTTAAAACCTGGCTCTTTGAGCAAGCGTTTGGCTAATCAGCGCAATCGAACATAGGATGACGGTTAAATTGAACATAGGAATGGCACAAGGATTATGAGATTGGATTTTGCTTTGTGATCGAGGCATTATGAATGATTAATTGTGTATTTTGTTATTGTGTATGATGTGTTTTAATTGTTATTGTTGTGTTAATTTACATTGTGTAAACCGCATTGAGTCGCCTTATTAGGTTGAGAAACGCGGTATAGAAATAAAGCAAATAAATAAATAATAAATAAATAAATCTCTTGGGATTGCTCAGCTTTGCTCATCTCAACATTCAGAAGAATCAACAAGCACTCAAATTTAAAGTGGGAAAGAGGGAGATCCTATATGAAGTCCACAGCTCCCCAAACCTGAACACCACTCTCTCCCCTAATTTCAATTGAACGGTTTCCAGCCTTCTGTTTTCAATCTTGTAATCTGAGTCTACCCTCCGGGGGTTGAGAAGGACAGGGTAGAAATGTTGTAAATAAATTGTAAATAAAAAGTAGGTAAGGAGGCTGTCAAATAAAGGCACAAAGTCACCTCAGCAATGCCCTGTTTGGTATAAGTCTGTTCACATGAAGCGGGTGAACACAGCACTGAACAAAACATGCAGAATAATCACAGGATGTCAAAAACCTACACCTGTTGATAGACTCCATAAGCTAGCTGGCACTGCTCCACCCCTCTCCCGATGTGCTGCTAACTGTGAGAAAAATAAGGTTGAACAGTGTGAAAGCCATTCACTACATGGCGATCCCTCTGGGCAGCTAAACCAGGAAATCCCAATTGGATGCCCCCCCCCTCCCCGGCATGAGGGTCTTCCTCCAGGGGCAAACCAAGAATGGGCAACTTGGAAGTTGCTGAACAGACTCAGAAGTGGAGTGGGTGGAGGTTTAGCACAGCTTGTAAATCATCAGCAACTATAAGATCTATCAACTGAAAGGTTGCAAGTTTGAAGCCCCGGGTCGGCATGAGCGGCCGACCGTCAGCCCTGCTCACTCTTTACCTAAGCAGTTCGAAAACAGCTTTAGCTGTAATTAGAGAAATTAGATACCACTAAAGCGAGGGAGGTGTTTTACAACGCTATAAAGAAAAAGAAAAACATAAAATGCTGGACTGAGGAAGTCCTGACGGCTCTTCATCATAAAGGATGGAGTGAAGCATCCCTTGTAGACTCAAGCCCAACCATCCATGGCATCGAAACAACACTTCCTTCTGTTCTGTCTGTGTACTGTCTATACAAACGGCATTGAATGTTTGCCGTTTATGTGTACTTGTGATCCGCCCTGAGTCCCCTTCAGGATGAGAAGGGTGGAATATAAATAAAGTGTTTATTATTATTATTATTATTATTATTATTATTATTATTATTATTATTAGAAACACAACAAGATGAGTCCACAGCAGACACTCTGCTGGCTGTTGAATTGGATCACATCACTGTGTGATGTTTCGGCGAATAATGCGTGCAGAAGGTGGTTTTCTGCAGCTGGCAGATGGTAATTTTGTCAGCGCCAATTGTGTTTAAGTGCAGGCCAAGGTCTTTAGGCAATGCACCCAGTGTGCCAATCACCACTGGGACCACCTTTAAAAAATAAAGGTTGTCCCCTGACATTAAGTCCAGTCATGTCTGACTCTGGGGTGTGGTGCTCATCTCCATTTCTAAGCCGAAGAGCTGGCGTTGTCCATAGACACCTCCAAGGTCATGTGGCCGGCATGATTGCATGGGACCACTTTTACTGGTTTATGTTGTTGTTGTTGTTGTTGTTGTTATTATTATTATTAAAATGGAACTACCCAGAAGAATCCTCCACCTTGTGCAACAGTGGAGCAGAACAAACAACTCAGCATCTGAATGCTTGTCCACAATGCCCTGTCTCATGTACAGAGAAAGAACTGTTTAAAGCTACAGCCAATGCGGTTGCTATTGTCCAGTTTTGGTCAAAACTTATTCCGCCACTTGTGCGCCTTCTATTTTTATCCATTTTTATACTTATGTATGCAATGCTCTTGACACAAAATAAATAAAATGCAATCTTTTATATGCACAAATGTGACCCACAAAAATATCAGCGTCAACAATGGTGCTCAAAACATTGTATATACAACAGTTGTAAACTGCAAGGCAGTCACGGAGTATTCCCTGCAAAGCAGAGGGCACCTTCAAGAGGCCCATGTCTTCTGCCAAACCTTGCATCTAAAATATACACTTAAATAAGAGGACACAAAAAAAGACAAAACCCTGTAGCTTACCTGAAAAAGTGGTTGTTCCCCCAGAGTATTCTGTCCCCATGATGGAGCTGTGTAGGGCTTGCAACCGCTGTACCGTTTACGAATGTCCTGCGATGGAGAAAGAGAAGGAGTTGGAATAATTTCTCACTCAAGGTTTCAAACATCCCTCAACTCCAAAGTGGTTGTTTCAAAGGACAGAGTGTGCAGGGATAAGATCTGGTCTGGATCCACTTTCTGTGTCTCAGGAGAGACTGGTGAGCCCAGCTGAAGATCTCCTTCCATTCTTTGGTGATGCCATCAGTTTCCTTTGGAAACTCTCTTCGTTGATAGCTCTCATGTCTTACTTTTCTCCCCTCTCTGTCTCCTTCTTCCAGGGAAAGAATCTCATCTTCAATTTCTAACTCTTCCAAGTTGGTTCCCTGTTCTTTCTGAACAACGGCCCACTTGGGCTTTGCTAATGGCATCTCATTTTCTGTAGTCTGAGAGCTAAACTCAACCCTAGCTGTGTCCACTGTCGCTGGACGGGGGAGGGAGACCCACACACAGGACTTTTTATTCTTTCTCTCTCCCTTTCTTTTTCTCCCTTTTCTCTCTCTCGTTTGACTGAACCCATCCACATTCAAAGACTAGAAAACCCACACTTTTGGCACAATGGCCAAAACACTGTGGGCGTCTCACACGTGCTTCGGTTCTTTTACAGAAGCACTTGGGTATTCAGTTGGAAGGGATAGCCAATACTCCAGAGGACAGGAGCAGAATTCAAAATGATCCTGACTGATTAGAGAGATGATGGGCCAAAACTAACAAAATGAAGTTCAACAGGGACAAATGCAAGATACTCCACTTAGGCAGAAAAAACGAAATGCAAAGATACAGAATGGGGGACAATGCCTGGCTTGAGAGAAGTATGTGTGAAAAAGACCTTGAAGTCCTCATGGATAATAAGTTAAACATGAGCCAACAATGTGATGTGGCGGCAAAAAAAGCCAATGGGATTTTGGCCTGCATCAATAGGAGCCTAGTGCCTAGATCTAGGGAAGTCATGCTACCCATGCTCTATTCTGCCTTGGTTAGACCACACCTGGAATATTGTGTCCAATTCTGGGCACCACATTTAAAGAGAGATATTGACAAGCTGGAAAGTGTACAGAGGAGAGCGACTAAAATGATCAAGGGTCTGGAGAACAAACCCTACGAGGAGTGGCTTAAAGAGCTGGGCATGTTTAGCCTGAAAAAGAGAAGGCTGAGAGGAGATATGATAGCCATGTATAAATATGTGAGAGGAAGCCACAGGGAGGAGGGAGCAAGCTTGTTTTCTGCTTCCCTGGAGACTAGGACGCGGAACAATGGCTTCAAACTACAAGAAAGGAGATTCCATCTGAACATGAGGAAGAATTTCCTGACTGTGGGAGCTGTTCAGGAGTGGAACTCTCTGCCTCAGAGTGTGGTAGAGGCTCCTTCTTTGAGTCCACTGGCTTGTGCTCTAGTTTCTGAACCTGCAGAAAACAAGCTGCCTATGTCTGTGAATCTGAAGTTATCTGATATGGAGCTTGCTTGCTCTTCCTCTCTCCCTCCCTCCCTCCCTTCAAAACTCTCCTATGACAGGTAGCCAATAACTAGGACCAGTCTATGGACTACCACTTTGACTATAGGACATACCTTCAGATAGTTAAAAGATGGCTATGGATCTTGGTCTGTAGTCTGTGCATAGGTTTACTATGCTTGAAATTGATCTTTTGTTGTTCACTGCTGGCAAGTTGACTTTGATGAATAGTGACCCTATGAACGAGAGACTGCCTGGTCACCCTATTGTCAACACTCCTGCTCAGAACTTGCAGATCTCCTAGTTGAGTCCATCTAACTGGAATGAAGGACTCCCCGTTTCCCATTACTTTCTAACTTAGCAAGCTGTATTGTCTTTTCAAATTAGTCATGCCTTTTCATGATATGCAAAGCAAGAGGATAACCAAAAGAAGCATTGATTCGTTTGGCTCCATCAAAAGCCCTGGGACTCAATGTCTACTAATAATGTTTATATCCCATCCAGTATCACCACAAGCCCTTACCTTGCATTCTTCTGAGGTGTCAACATGACTTGGCCATCCAAGGTGATATCTATTATGCAGTGTTCGGGAAGGATCCCCAGTCCACAAAGCTGGATGTCTTGGGAGTTATCGCACCCGATCAAAGTGTGATTCTGTAAAAGATTCAAAACCTACATTAAAAAGGCAGCAGAACTTCACTGTCCGTGTTTTCAGCATAGGAAGATGTGTTGATAACTTTGATGTCTAGCCCAATATGTTGACCATTTCCGCTCCCTTGGCAGCCACCTCTCCCCAAAAGTCAATATTGACACTGAAATAAAACACTGCCTGAGCTCTGCGAGTGCAGCTTTTTCCGAATGAAGCAGAGAGTGTTTGAGGACCGGGACATCCATAGGGATACCAAGGTGCTTGTTCATAAAGCTATTGTACTCCCAACCCTGCAATACGCCTGTGAGACGTGGACTGTCTACAGACGTCACATGCAACTCCTGGAACGATTCCATCAGCGCTGCCTCCAAAAAATCATGCAAATTTTTGCACCGGGATTGTGGCGCAGCTGGCTGAGTGTCAGCTGCATTAAGATCACTCTGACCAAAAGGTCATGAGTTCGAAGCCAGCCCAGGTTGGAGTGGGTTTCCAACCAATTGTGTGTAGCCTGTTGTCGACCTTTGCAACCCAAAAGACAGTTGCATCTGTCAAGTAAGAAAATAAGGTACCACCTTAAAGTGTGGGGAGGCTAAATTAACTGATTTATGAGGCCATAAAGAAGACTCCAGCAAAGCATTCCAGCGGGGAAGCATGCGGGGAATGCGGAAGTGCTTCATCAGCGTTGCAAATGGACGATGAAAGCGACAGCTCCCCTGGCGGCCAGAAAAAGTTAAATAGCCTCTGTGTATGTCTGTATATGTTTGTATGTCAAAAATTGGCATTGAATGTTTGCCATATATGTGTACACTGTAATCCGCCCTGAGTCCCCTGCGGGGTGAGAAGGGCAGAATATAAAAGCTGTAAATAAATAAATAAATAAATAAATAAATAAATAAATAAATAAATAAATACAAATCTCTTGGGAAGCAGACAAATGTCAGAGTGCTAGAAGAAGCAAAGACCACCAGCACTGAAGCGATGGTCCTTCACCATCAACTCCACCATCAACCTCCAAGGTCATGTGGCTGGCATGACTGCACAGAGCACCGTTACCTTCCCGCCGAAGCAGTACCTATTGATCTACTCACATTTGCATGTTTTTGAACTGCTAGGTTGGCAGAAACTGGGGCTGACAGTGGAAGCTCATGCCACTTCCCGGATTCGAACCTGCAACCTTTCGGTCAACAAGTTTAGCAGCTCAGTGGTTTAACACACTGTGCCACCGGGGGATCCTAGATATATTAGCATGCATTTATCTGTGTTAAAATTGATTTTACTAGTTGTGACTCGGCTCCCCCATCTGCCAAGTGGTGCATTTACACTGCAGAATTAATGCAGTTTGACACCTCTTCCCACTGTCATGACTCATAGAATCATAGAATCAAAGAGTTGGAAGAGACCTCGTGGGCTATCCAGTCCAACCCCCTGCCAAGAAGCAGGAATATTGCATTCAAATCACCCCTGACAGATGGCCATCCAGCCTCTGTTTAAAAACCTCCAAAGAAGGAGCCTCCACCACACTCCAGGGCAGAGAGTTCCACTGCTGAACGGCTCTCACAGTCAGGAAGTTCTTCCTCATGTTCAGATGGAATCTCCTCTCTTGTAGTTTGAAGCCATTGTTCCGCATCCTAGTCTCCAGAGCAGCAGAAAACAAGCTTGCTCCCTCCTCCCTGTGACTTCCTCTCACATATTTACACACGGCCCTCATCATTTCTCCTCTCAGCCTTCTCTTCTTCAGGCTAAACATGCCCAGCTCCTTAAGCTGCTCCTCATAGGGCTTGTTCTCCAGACCCTTGATCATTTTAATCGCCCTCCTCTGGACACACTCCAGCTTGTCAATATCTCTCTTGAATTGTGGACTCAATGGAACTCTCTGCCCCGAAGTGTGGTGGAGGCTCCTTCTTTGGAAGCTTTTAAACAGAGGCTGGATGGCCATCTGTCAGGAGTGATTTGAATGCAATATTCCTGCTTCTTGGCAGGGGGTTGGACTGGATGGCCCATGAAGTCTCTTCCAACTCTTTGATTCTATGATTCTATGAATGGTATGAGAGTTGAAGTTTGGTGATGCACCACCACTCTTTCAGCAGAGAAGACTAAAAGTCCTTGCAAAAACTACAACTACCACAACTCCATAGCTTTGGAATACGGCAGTTAGAGTGACGTCAAACTGCAGTGTAAATGCACCCAAGGTAATTCTGTATTTTGACCTTGTCACGTGGAAATATCCGTCGATGGTTTCCTTGAAGAATGGCTGACTCAGTCTGTTAAAATCAAAAAAAGCGTTCTTTTCCCAAAGGAGGAGGAACTGAAAACACACACTCTCTCCCTTCCTTCCTTCCTTCCTTCCTTCCTTCTTTCCGCTCCTTCCCGTTTCTTGCTAACAGACAAATATTGCCGGCGCAATAAGGGGAAACCTTATCCTCCAGCAAAGCCTCTCAAGGTCACCTTCTCAATCTGCTTTGCGGCCAAGACATTCTCACTGAGCCTCCGAAGGCACAAACAAAAGAAACGGATAGAGTGCCAAAATCCATGCGGGAAAAGGAGGGGTGTCCACTGGCTGACAAAGCCATTCCAATTCAGAACCCAGGCACCTACATCGGCTGGAAATCCTTTGGGTCTACATTTTACAAAAAGCTGCTGAGTTCAGCTCTTTGGCTGCTTCTCCAAAGAGAGCTTTGTGATGACTAAGGGTTCTCAAAACCCACACTTTCACATTCTTCTGGGACTGTAAACAAGGGCATTTGTTCTTGGCTCTTAAACATATTCATACCGAACTTCTAAGGGTGACTGTTTTGAACTACAACTCCCAAGATGCTACGACAACAGAATAGCAGAAGGGAATATTGCCACCTAAATGAACAGCCTAAAAATTGCAATATGCAACCATCCCTCCACACTTTGGGGGCTACAACTCCCGGAATGAGAAGCTGTGATAGTAAAATGCATTCCTCTCTGTTGTTGAAGTAGGCCAACGAAAACACATCTTGGGAATTTCTACATGGAACACTTTGAAAAACAAGCCCTGGAAACAGCAACCAAAAAGCCCACTTTATGGTTCAGATATGTGGATGACACCTTCACCATTTGGAGCCATGGAGAAGAAGAACTCAACAGGTTCCTGGACCATCTCAACAACATCCACCCAAACATCCAATTCACCATGGAAAAAGAAAATGAAGAAAGACTGCCTTTTCTAGATGTCCTAGTCATCTGCAAACCAGATCAACAATTGGGTCACACCGTCTACAGAAAAAACCCCCACACAGATAGATACCTACATAAAAACTCCAACCACCACCCAAGTCAAAAAAGAAGCACCATTAAAGCCTTGGCAGATCGTGCAAAAAGAATTTGCGAAGCCCACCTCCTCCAAGATGATCTGAACCACCTCAACTGGGCTCTCCAGGCCAATGGAGACTCCACCTCAGACATCAGAAGAGCTGCAAGACAACCGAGAACAAGCCACGAGAGTCAAGATGAAGATCCACCCAGAGGAAAAGTGTTCTTGCCATACATCAAGGGAACCACTGACCGCATAGGGAAGCTGATGAGGAAACACAACATACAAACTATCTACAGACCTACTAAGAAAATCCAGCAAATGCTCCGTTCAGCAAAGGACAAGAGGGATCCTCTCACCTCTGCAGGAGTCTACGGTGTACCATGCAGCTGTGGACAAGTCTACAGAGGGACCACCAAACACAGAAGCATGCCCAAACACGGATCAAGGAACATGGAAGGCACTGCAGACTACTTCAACCAGAGAAGTCAGCCATAGCAGAGCACCTGAGGAACCAGCCTGGACACAGCATTTTATTTGAGAACACAAAAATGCTTGACCACACCAACAACCACCACGTCAGACTACACAGAGAAGTCATTGAAATTTGGACAATTTCAATAGAAAGGAGGAAACCATGAAAATGAACAAAATCTGGCTACCAGTATTAAAAAACTCTAAAATTAGAACAGCAAAACAACAGAGAGGAAACAAACAAGAACATTTGATCACCTCTCAACAAAAATTTGCTCCAGGCACTGTCAGGTCATTATATCAAGGTGGTCAGTTGAAACATTCACACCTAGCTCCAGCAGTCAAGAGTCCTTTGTCCCACCCTAGTCATTCCACAGATATATAAATCCTTTTTCCTAGTTCCAACAGACCTCACTACCTCTGAGGATGCTTGCCATAGATGCAGGCGAAACCTACAACAACCCAGTGATTCTGGCCATGAAAGACAATACACATCTTGGGAACATAGTTACCGATCTATCACATTATAGATTATATAATATTATGGACTACAACTACCAGAATTCACCAACCAGGGGGAGTTGTAGTTTGAAACAGGAACGTCCTTCAATTCTGCTTTTATGGGAGAGCATTTAAGATGAAAGACAACATTCAAATATCTAAAATGGAACCAGGTTGAAAAAAAGGTGCCATTATCTGGAAATGAAAAGGGCACACTGGTGAGCTCCTGTTGTTAGCCCAGCTCCTGCCAACCTAGCAGTTCCAAAACATGTAAATGTGAGTTGATAACTAGGTACTGCTTCGGTGGGAAAGATGTAAGATGCTCAACGCAGGAATGCGGGTTACACAACCAGGAGTTGATGACACAGGCTCCTCGGCTTGGAAATGGAGAATAGCACCTGCCCCAGAGCCAGAGATGAGCACCGCCTCCAAAGCTGGAAATGAAAGGAGAAGCCTTTACCTTTATCTGTGTTTATGTGTCTCATTGCATTCTAACAAGTCACTGAATGTTTGCCAGTATCTGTTTACACTGTAATCCGCTCTGAGTCTTCAAGGGGAGAAGGGCAAAACATAAACAAAGTGTTTTGTTGTTGTTGTTGTTGTTGGTATTCTTTGAAAGAAGCCTTGCTCTAGATAAGATCGTAATAACTCTACAAATAAAATTGTCTGATATAAAATGACTGTTTTGATATTTATTTTTATTTATTTATCGTGTGAGGAGCGAACCAAACTGTTTTGATATGATTTGGTATTCTAAAAGCATCAATGCACACCTCGACAATTCAAAATTGAGTCCCCTTAAGATCATAGCTTGCAGGTTAATAATAGTAATAATAATAATAATAATAATAATAATAATAATAATAAAAAATATTACACAGTCCTAGACGCTTGGGAAGTGTTCGACTTGTAATTTTGTGATATGAAATCCTGCATATAGATCTCATTTACTGTGGTTTTGTGTCAGTAAAATAATAATAATAATAATAATAATAATAATAGTATTTAAAGATTTAAAGATCGAACTGCAAACACTCTGGCACAAGCCAGTCAAGGTGGTCTCAGTGGTAATCAGTACACTGGGTGAAGTTCCTAAAGTCCTTGGCCTGTACTTAAAAACAATTGGCGTTGACAAAATCACCATCTGTCACTGCAAAAGGCCCCCCTAGTTGGATCTGAATGCATTATTTGCCGATACATCACACAGACCTAGACACTTGGGAAGTGTCCAAACATGTGATCGAATACAAAAGTGAGCGTAGTGATCTTGTTTGCTGTGGACTAATTTTGTTGTGTATTAAATAATAATTTTTGTTTCTTATCCGCCTCGCCTCAAGACATAAGGTGGAGCAAGTGTTTTATAACTTCATTATAAAGCATTATGCAAAATACATAAATTTAACCCATACTTACCATCTTTGGTTTACATGAAGTTTTAATTCAGGTCATACATTAGCTATGTTCTTTTCTTCCATTCACTCCTTACGGGCAAAACAATTACAGAAATACTGGCCTTTCTTAAAAGGTCCAGAGATTGCATAAGAAATGCTTTGAGATCTTAATATTGTTACAGGGCTTTTCTCCCCCTACACAGAATATATTTGTGGTCTGAAACAGGTTTGCCAGGCATGTTTGCATGGGAACCTGATATGCAGTGGGAATATGTTGCCGGTGCACACGTAATACCAAATCATGAATAACATAGGTTTTATGTTTCTAATAAAAGGAAAAAGTGGTATAGCTTTGGAACATAAAACCCGCTGATTGATCAGATCACGTCTTTAGTGTCGGTCAATAGCTTTTAACAATTCCCCATGAAATCCTATATGGGTCTGTTCAGAGCGAAATGTCACTGAGTACATTGGGGGATTGTGCCAAGAAATAATAAGCTGAATATCCCTTGTTTAGAATTCCAAAATTCAAAATATTCCAAAATTGGTTGAGATTGTGAAACCTTTGCTTTCTGATGGTTCAACGTACAGGAACATTGTCCCATGAACAGAATTATTAAAAATGTTGTGTATCAAAGTACCATCAGTCTATAGATGCATTAAATGTGGGGGCTTGGGTCACATCACCAAGATACCTACGTGCAAGTATTCCAAAATCTGAAAAAAAATCCCAAACACAGAATGTTTCTGGCCCCAAGTATTTCCAAGAAAGGATATTCAACCTGTAGATCAGTGTTTCTCAACCTTCCTAATGCCGCGACCCCTTAATACAGTTCCTCATGTTGTGGTGACCCCCAACCATAACCCTAACGTTATGAATTGCCATGTAAATAATGATCTGCAGGATGTATTTTCATTCACTGGAGCAAATTTTGCCCAAATTTGAATACTGGTGGGGTTGGCGGGGGGGATTGATTTTGCCATTTGGGAGTTGTAGTTTCTGGGATTTATAGTTAACCTGTAAACAAGGAGCATTCTGAACCCCACCAACAATGGAATTGAGCCAAAGTTGTCATACACAACTCCCGTGAGCAACAGAAAATACTGGAAGGGTTTGGTGGGCATTGACCTTGAGTTTGGGAGTTGAAGTTCGCCTACATCCAGAGAGCACTCTAGAATCCAGGAATTATTGTTCTGGACCAAACTTGGCACGGATACTCCATATGCCCAAATGTGAACACTCGTGGGGTTTTGGGAAAATAGACCTTGAGATTTGGGAGTTGTACTTGCTGGGATTTATAGTTCACCTACAATCAAGGAGCTTTCTGAACCCCAACAATGATAGAATTGTGCCAAACTTCCCACACAGAGACCCCCATGGCCAACAGAAAATACTGTGCTTTCTGATGGTCTTTGGCGACCCCTCTGACACCCTTTCGCGACCCCTCCAGGGGTCCCGACCCCCAGGTTGAGAAACACTGCTGTAGATGTAAAATCAATGGGATGATCTATCCTCCCCAAGATTTAGCTCAAGGTTTAATGAATCTACCGTATTTCTTCTATTGTAAGACACCACTGATTCTAAGATGCACTCTAATTTCAGTACAACATCCTCCACCAAAAATACATAACATACACCCCATTTTTAGAGATGTTTATATAGGACAATGGTTCCCAACCTGTGGTTCATGGACCACCAGTGGTCCGCAAAAACAAAAATATGGTCCGCGGGCTCATCATTACTACACCATTGCAACGAGAACAACTGCCCTCACTAAACCCTCTTATAGTGTCGAGGCTTATTAAATACATAATATACACCCCATTTTTAGAGATGTTTATAGATGACAGTGGTTCCTAAACTTGGTCCATGGACCACCAGTGGTCTGCAAGAACTAAAATATGGTCCATGGCCTCACCGTTACTACACTGTTGCAATGAGAACAACTGGTCTCATGAAACTGTCTTATAGTACCGAGGCTTATTAAATATGGTTTTCTGTAGGCGAGCAGATGGTGACTACTGGATGGCATATGTTCTGTATCAGAAACTAGAGCTGATGTGGTCTATCCAATGCAGTTTTCTGAATCAGCACCCCAAATAACCAAACCAAATCTAAAGTTGTCCAAAATCTGATTTGTAACCCTTTTGGTAGTAATATTGGAGAGTGGTCCCTGGTCAAAAAAAGGTTGGCAACCATTAATACAGGAAAATAAGTGTGTCTCAATATTGAAGAAATACAGTGTCTAAGGTGCTCAATCATATATATCTATGCGCTGTTTGGAGAAATTTGGTATTTTGGAATTCTTAGATAGAGAGATAGATAGATAGATAGATAGATAGATAGATAGATAGATGGATGGATAGAGATATGTATGTTTGTGTGTGTGTGCATGTGTATAATATGAATCACAAAATATGAAATTTCTCCAAACAGTAAGCAAAACAACTGTGCCAAGTGGGAAGGGAACTCAAAGGCCATCTAGTCCAACCTCCAGTCTTGAGCCCTACGAAAGATTCCCAAATATCCCATGGTGGGTTTTGAGAGCTGTGCTTATACCTCTTTTTTCAGTACATGGCACAGAAGCCTGTGCCAATTTGCTGTTCTGAAATGGCTTCACATAATATTCATTCATTTTTACCTTTAAATAATAGACCAGAAGTTCATTGAGGGCAGGGTCGGCGTTCAGGTTGACCAGGAAGCACTTGTTGTCTCCCACTTTGATCCCGGAAGACTGGAGAGAAATGCCAAGACTTTCAAGCTGCTTCTGCCGCTCCTGAATAAGAGCAGAAATAATGTTTGAAAACACAGGAGACTCTCTGTTAATCAAAACTCTCAACCAACAGGGGTTTTTTTAAAAAAAAAATCACGAAACAGACCTGTGCAATCTCTTCTGTCTTCCGTAGCTTCTCTTCCCAAGTCACCGTCATCTCCTGGATAAGTTTTTCAGACTCTTCCAAGCGGTCTTTCAGTTCTGGAGATTTCATTGCCTACAAGAAATAGAGAGAGAGGAAGGAAACAAAATGGTTAAGGAACACTCCTCCTCCTTTAATTGCACTTCAGAGATGTCAGAAAAGGTAGTCCATAAGTAAAAAAAACCTAAGCCGGTGATGAGTAAAACACTTCAAAGGGAATAATCCAAATAATCCAAAAGGTACAGAAAAACAAGAATCATAACATGAGCATAAATCCAGGGAAACAAGAATGAAAACATGAACATGAATCCAGAAAACCCAAGAACATAAGCTAAAACATGAACTGGAAACAGGACTTGAGATCCTCACTATCTAGCAGTGTTGCCTGATCTGAATTCTCAAAGAGACGCTCTCTAATTTAAGGGCCGCAAAACATGAAGGCATTTCTTTGACCTTGACTTTCTGGCTTGTGAAACTTTATGCTTCCTTCTCACTGAGCCTTTTGAGTTTCCTGAGCTTGATGTTTTTCTCCCTAAGATGAAGGCTGATACCCCTGCCGAACACATCTGCTTTCTCAGGTGAGCTATCTCATCATTCCAGGCCTTTATCGGGAGTTGCGAAGCTACCTGTAGGCAAAAAGTCATCTCCCTTATTCACTGTATTTATTTACTCCTTTTGTATACCGCAAATATCAGCCAACGGCGACTCTGGACTCAGAAACAGCTTCATTGTCAAGCCCCGTATCACAGACATAATCTTGATCTTAAATCCCCTCATTTCCTTCAGTGAAAGAACCATCCACACTCTCCCAGGCCCTCCAGGTTCTGGAATCCCAATCCCCTCATCTTCGTCTGTCTCACTCACAACAGATAATGCATGGTTAGATAGGACTGCATTGGCTGCAACCCCATTGTGTAAAACTGGTTGAGAATACAGTTCTAATGGACATGTAGTGTTGGGGTTCAGCCTGATCCTGATCTGTGTGAACCGGATTCTCTGATAGTTTTTCCAACTGAGCAAGCTCTCCCTGACTCTGACAGTGTGGAATCTGTTGTTGATGCTGAGGTCAGCGGCGATGAAAATGAAACTCAACAGCTGGAGGAAAATGTTTTGGAAGCTACCTGTGATATCGCTAGCTGTGATATCTCTCCACCTGGGATTTTTAATGAGGACCGAAGAGAACAGATAGTTAGAGACAGAAATGTTTCCCAGTTTCTACAAAGGTCACATAGTTTACAGGAGAGACAGGCCCAGGCTTCAAAGTCAAGGGGCGTTTCAAAGAATAGCTTCTTTGGTTTAAGAGGCCTCCTGCCGGGTGCCTCTTTAGAACAAGCAATGTTTGGGACTGTGGCTGTGCCTTGGCAGAATTCCTAAGTTTCATGGCCGGTAATCCCAGAGGCTTAGTTATCAAGTTCATGGTTAGTAAAAGGCTAACAGATTCCTGGTTCTTGTTTTGTGGCTTTTGAAATTTTGCTCAAGTTCAGAGGTTCTACTGACTGCTGTGTTTTTCTGTGGCTTTTTGACTTTGCATTTACCTTTCTCTTGTAATCAATTTTTCATCAATAAACAAGGATTGCTTTTCCTACAGTCCAGTGTGGTGGATTTAATCTTATGGTCTCGTTTCTTGAACTGGGATGCAACATGTAGTCATGCACCTATTGAAAGGATAAGTAGGTGGTGACATGGAACTAAAGGGACAGGCCAAAGAAAATGAGTCATGACCATGTGACAGGCATGACAAGGATTATATCATTCACGTTTGTCCCTGGAAGCGATGGGTATAAAAGAGAAACAAGCATGTGTTCTGTCTCTTGCCATGATTCTCTTGCTTCTTGCTGTACATCTGTTGCTGATATCTGTTGTATGTATATCTCTGCATATGCCATAGACTGATAGGACATCAGGGGATCCCGATGTGTGTGTGTGTGTGTGTGTGTGTGTGTGTATATATATATATATATATATATATATATATATATATATATATATAGCTGTACATAAAGCAACGGGTCATCCATTGTGAGTTTGGATGAAAACTGAGTCAATGTGTTTTCTCAAACAGTGAATGGCAGAAAATCAGGCTGTGCAGTATAAACTCTGCTAAAAACTGATAAAGACTCTGCTATGTTTGGGTTGCTTTTGTAAGCTTGTCTCTGAGACAATCAGTCTGGTGTGCAATGTATTTAGGGAGGGCATTATTGAAAGGAGAAAACTATAAATCATGCACCTATCCTGCTGTTTCCCACAAGGAATAGGTGGCTCTCCAGACTGCCCTTCCAACACCCGCTATGTCAGCAAAGGCCCTGTTTTTAATACAATATGAGCTAAGCAGCTGCGGGTCCTGCGTAAGTGTTATATATATCCATACCCAGCAAAATACAACTTCTTGGGAATTGACTGTATTTGAAAGCATGTTTTCTCTGGAAAGTTCCACAGAACCACCCTGAGGTGCGCATGGCTATCTATATCCGCATCGACAGTACAGTCGTAGTCTATTTCACCCATAAAAAGACATAATGATAATTAATTGCCCATTCAAAGTGCTGGCGGATTCTCCTTCACCAGGCGTTAAAAATATAATCAGAAACACCTTAGCCGTAGTTTCCTGCAGTGACGGAAAGGTGGAGTAAATGATCCGTCAATGTCTATGACTCTATTATAGTAAAACATGGACAGAGGAAAATAAAAAGCAACGAGGCATGAGCTGACGGTACCTGCATGGAAAGACCCATGTCTCTTTCTAGCTCAGCATTTCAGCACCAAATGTAATTACTGGAGCAAAACCAAGGATAAGACAACCTTGATCTAGTGATGCAAATATGGGAATGCTGAGAGCGAAGGGCTGCCCTATTAGTCTATCTGCAAAACAAGGGAGAGATATGGGCGCATATCCCGTATCTCACCATAAGAAGGATCTAAATCAAAGACCCACCTGCTTTTGTGTTTGCTAACATGTTTGGTTCTGCAAAGATGACAAAAAGTGCTTGCTGAGCATAAAAAAGGTATTTGGGAACAGGTCTTGGGAAAAGTTACTTTTTGAGTTACATTTCCCACTCGTTTTCCACTGCTTTAGAGTTTCAGACACAGAGCAATGGATTCAAATGGCTTGAAAAGTGATTCTACTTAAACATTAGAAAGAACTTCTTGATAGTTAAGAGCTGTCCAGTAGTGGGAATAGATTGCCTGCTAAGGTGGTAAAGAGTGCCTTGGACAGCTTGGGCGTGATCCTGGATTCATCACTGAGCCTGGATCTCCAGGTTTCGGCGGTGACCAGGGGAGCATTTGCACAATTAAAGCTTGTGCGCCAGCTGTGCCCGTACCTTGGGAAGTCTGACTTGACCACGGTGGTCCACGCTCTGGTTACATCCAGTATAGATTACTGCAATGCGCTCTACGTGGGGTTGCCTTTGAAGACGGCCCGGAAGCTTCAAATGGTCCAGCATGCGACAGCCAGGTTGCTAACAGGAGCGGGGCTCAGGGAGCATACAACTCCTCTGTTGAATCAGCTCCATTGGCTGCCAGTCTGCTACCGGACTCAATTCAAAGTGCTGGCTTTAGCCTATAAAGCCCTAAACGGTTCTGGCCCAGTCTATCTATCTGAACGCATCTCTTCTACGAACCCCCCAGAAACTTAAGATCATCTGGGGAGGCCCTGCTCTCGATCCCGCCTGCTTCGTAGGCATGTCTGGCGGGGACGAGAGACAGGGCCTTCTCTGTGGTGGCCCCCCGGCTGTGGAACTCCCTCCCTAGGGATATTAGATCAGCCCCATCCCTCCTGACTTTCCCAAAAAGAGTAAAAACTTGGCTCTTCGAGCAAGCATTCAGAACCTCGGAGTAAACAGACAAACAGGAGTTGGAAATTGACCCAGGAACGGCCAAGACAATGTAACAGATGAAGATTTGAACGAGAGGACATAGTTTCTTTTTAAATTGTTTATTTTGCACTGTCGTTTATGTTTAATTGCACTTGATGTTTTTGCTTTATCAATGTATGTATTTTGTTTCGGCATCAAATTGTGCCGACTGTGTATACCGCCCTGAGTCGCCTTTGGGCTGAAATGGGCGGGAAATAATGTACATAAATAAATAAATAAATATCCAACCAGTCCATATTTCAAGAAATAAAGCCTGACTGCTCATTGGAGGGAAGAATAGTAGAGGCCAAGATGAAGTACTTTGACCACATCATGAGGAGACAGGAAAGCTTAGAGAAGACAATGATGCTGGGGGAAAAGGAAGGAAAAAGGAAGAGGGGCCGACCAAGGGCAAGATGGATGGATGAGATCCTTGAAGTGACTGGATTTATCTCGAAGGAGCTGGGGGTGGTGACGGCCGACAGGGAGCTCTGGCGTGGACTAGTCCATGAAGTCACGAAGAGTCGGAAATGACTGAACGAATGACCAACAACAAACAAAGGTGACAAAGGGCCCTTCCACACAGCCATATAACCCAGAATATCAAGGTAGGCTGTTAGGAATTGTGGGAGTTGGAGTCCAAAACACCTGGAGGGATGGAGTTTGCCCATGCCTGATTTAAACCCTTCCACACTGCTCCGTTACTGCACTTTGATTCCACTTTAACTGCCATTGCTACATCTTATGGAATCATGGTATCTATAGTTTGGTCCGGAACTAGAGCTCTCTAGTCAAGAATTCTAAATAGCCTTCCCTAGAGTGCAACTATCAGGAAATCACCATAGCAATTAAAGTGGGATTATGTCATATGACAAGGCCTTTGACTATTAATTGCTTGTTCCACATGTGTATTATAATTTTATCCTGACAGTTCTGATTTGCATCTTCTTAAATTAGTGTATTATGTAATAGACTGCTTTTCCGAACTTGTTTATATATTGCTGCACAGGATGACCCTCGTATTGCTCTCGGACGTCATGTGGATAAGCAAAACTGTGGATAATTTCCAACCCTATTGAAACGAAGTTCCCACGGAGGAACTGGATAGTGACTAGAAAGGACATATTGTTGGAGTTCAGCCTGTGATTGTGTTTCAAGATCAAGGTGCTTTGGATGTGGGGAATGATGTCAATGAAGGTCAAGATGGCAATGGTTTGGTCAATGATATTAATGCAGAGAATGACATAGAGACGTCGGTTCAAAGTGTAGTTTCCCATGAGAATGTTCCTACAGGGTATAGAGATGAGAGTTTACTCCCTGAATTGCTCGCAGAGAGTTCCTAGGATTTGGGGCTTGAAAACAACTTGGCAACTGCAGGGACTAATGAGCATATAGTTAAAAAGGTAAAGGTAGTCCCCTGACATTAAGTCCAATCATGTCTGACTCTGGGGTGTGGTGCTCATCTCCATTTCTAAGCCGAAGAGCCGGCGTTGTCCATAGACACCTCCAAGGTCATGTGGCCGGCATGACTGCATGGAGCGCCGTTACCTTCCCGCCGGAGCGGTACCTATTGATCTACTCACATTTGCATGTTTTCGAACTGCTAGGTTGGCAGAAGGTAGGGCTGACAGCGGAAGCTCACGCCGCTCCCCGGAATCGAACCTGTGACCTTTCGATCAACAAGCTCAGCAACTCAGTGCTTTAACCCAATGCGCCACCGGGGGCTCCTGAGCATATAGTTAGGCGGGTGGAAATTAGCCAAAACAGACAGCTTGACCAAGGCCTTCGGCGTTCTGCCAGATTTCGACAGATAAGGATGAGAGGCATTCAGGGAAAACGAAACCAATTTCTGAGTGCCTGGAATAGCTTAATGTGAGGATATAAAGTTCCACGCATGGAAAATATAGTCAGATGAAGCATCGTTTCAGATTCCTGCTAAGTTCTTGTTCTTGTCTCATGAAAGCCTTGCTTACAAGATACATGTTTAAGGATTTCTTGCTGTATGGTTTGACTCTTTGTCTCTTGTGATTACCTATTCATGCCTTGGATCAATGATTCCTTGTTTCTTTGGATTTTATTAGAGAAGCTTGGATTCTGTTTTTGAACTTTGCTGAACCGTAACTTGGACTAATTTGTTCCTGCTTATCTTCTTACCTAATTGGATTTATCTATTCCCTTAAAGTGTTTTTCTACTTTGCTGCTTTTACTTACCTTCAATAAAAAAGGATTGTTTTCCTACTCAACGTGTGGTGTTTTAAAATCGGAGGGTTATTTCTGCTCTGGAGTGCAACTCATACTTTGATGGATGTGGATAAATAAAAATGGGGAAAAAAGATGGGATATGAATTAAATACAGGCAATCTTGAATCCCAGCATGATACCTCGGCTTTGGTGAGCTGCTCCCTGAGTTTCTCCACTTCCTCCCGCAGCTCCCGGATGATCCGGGCATTGGGGTCTTCGTTGACCACGGCGTGGTTCACGATGTTCTTGGCCCGGTCAGCATACCGAAGGGTGGAAAGGGTCTCGTCATAATTGTCGGCAGCCGGGCTGACCGTAGCGACCATGGCAGTCTTGCTGTTGCCACCAAGGCTGTCCTGGGAAGAGAAGTGGGAAGACATAAACACTCCTGCATACAAGCAAATAGTAAAGTAAAGACTTTCTGTATATATTTCAGGTTTCAATATTAACGTCAAAATATGTAGTATGTTTTTACATAGGATTTGTGCTACATTAGAACAATAAAGACAAACATCACTTAAGTAAAATATGTTGTGACTCAGCTGGAACCACAGATGATAGTGTTGTTACTCAGATGGGGTCTCAGAGTGACTCTGACGAGGATGATGGGATTCAGGTTCACAATCAAGTTCAAAATATCCCTGCTGAAGACAATGAGGAACAGGGTGTGCAAGTTCAGTTTCCCACAGCAGGGAATGATGTTTTTGATACTGAAATTAGCCAGGTGCAAATTGACTCAGAAAAGGAGGACAGTTCTCAGCCCGATTGTGCAGGTACAGCTGTACCAGGAGCTCCAATTTTGTTTGCTTTGCATTGAATGTTTGTTGTAGTCCTAAGTTTCAGGGACTCTGCAGATAGGTGGCTTCTTTTGGCTGCAATCATAGGGCAAGCCACCTGTCAGTTATCGTTAGGTTCCCTGGTCCTGCCCCCTTTTTGGGTTATGGAGGGAATAGGAGCCACTTTGGGCTAGTCCACACAGAGAAGCCTTTCATGCAGAACATAAAATCAAGAGCTCCTGTAGAAAGCTTCGTCTTCTACGGCTTGGCCAGGAGATATATATACAGCATTACAGCTTGGCCGGGGAGAAAAGGCTCTACGGCTTGGCCGGGAGTTATACAGCCTTACAGCTCCTCTGCTGAGGGAATCTGGTCTCACAGCACTTCAGCCAACCATCACTGAAACCTGAACTTCTTTTTTCCTTGGAGGTCTACAAAGCTCTGCTTGGTAAGGGTCACTCGCGGAAGCCAGAAGCAGTTGGTACCGGGTGTAGGGGCTCCACGCCAACAGAGGCAAAGACAGACTGCCCAGATTAGAAGTTAAGGGTTTCCCCATTAGTTAAATTACAGTTCATGAAGACAGTGTCTGTTCCCAGTGGACAAGATTGCGAGAGCCTATAGACTATTAAGAAAGCCTTGAAGCTCCTGTTTGTTTTCATTAATAAAGAACTTTGTTGAACCTTTAAGCAATCTAAAGACTCTGTTTTAAGGAAACCCAAAGGCCTTTAATCCTGAGGCAGCCCTGGCATCCCATTGGGCACACAGAATTTATGTCCTGTCTACAGTCTTATGTATAGGCCCAACGTGCGATAGCACACTGATAGTAGGCAGGAAGGCAACCAGGCTGACACTAACGAGCAGCCTAACCTTGATGAAACGGGAATCTTAGATCGGGCTGACCGTTTGGAGTTCAGAGTTCGAAGGAGTGTGAGAATAGCCAACAAGAAGGAGGTCAGAGGCCAAAGAAATGCTTTCATGTATTGCAAAGGGTATTAAGCAGTGTGTTTAAAAACAAACCTTTGTCAGAGCAACTTTTCTCTCAACCAAGCAGCTTGTGCTCATTTTCCTGTATCCATGGTCTTGGGATTTTGTCATGTTCTCATGGGACTGTGTTTTGTTGGTGCCATTTGGAATTCTGCTTTACCGTGCTATGTTTTATTGATCTCTGGAACATTATTTGCTTTTTAAACTTTTCATCTTTTACTTTTAATAAACTACAAAGACTTCAGTCTGTGTGCAGTTCTGGGGATTTCAGCAAGCTGAATCTATTCGGAGGTGCGACTAATAAACATTAAATATTAAAAAACCAGAAAAATAAAATAAGGTGTAAACACTAAACTAGTCTGGGAATCTACTATTACAACACATCCAAAGAAGTGGTTTAAAACTAGTATATAAAAAAAGATTAGGACTAAGTACATTCCAGTCTACTTGGAATACCAGAAGCTCATCACAACAAGGAAGACTAACTCAAGTTTTGAGATCTTCAAGGTATCTATACTGAAGAATTAATGCCACTTTAAACTGCCCCAGATCAATTCTATGAAATCTTAGGAGTTGTACTTTAATGATGTGCCAACACTCTCTAGCAAAGAAGGCCAAAGAGCATGTGAAACTACAACTTCCAGGCTTCCACAGCATTGAGCCACGGCAGTTAAAGCTGTTTCAAATGGCATTCATTCTACAAAATCTGGTTACCAGTATTAAAAAAAACTCTAAAATCATAACAGTAAATAAAGAACAACACTAAAAGAAAATAGGGGAATTCCAGACAAGAAACAATCAGGGCCAACTAATCAGCTCCCAACAAAGGATTCCCCCAGGCAGTAAGAAGCCAGACCTTGGCCAATTGAAACATTCACATCTACCTCAAGAATTCTTTCTCCCACCCTAGTTTCCATCCTAGTTTCCAACAGACCTCACAACTTCTGAGAATGCTTGCCATAAATGCAGGCGAAACGTCAGGAGAGAATGCTTCTAGAATATGGCCATATAGCCCAAACCCCCAACAAAAACCCTGTTATTGTTTATTATTATTATTGATGATTTAATTCTGAAATAGCTTTTAAAAATTACCCGTATTCACTGGGTTGTTGTAGGTTTTTTGGGCTTTATGGCCATGTTCTAGAAGCATTCTCTCCTGAGGTTTTGCCTGCATCTATGGCAAGCATCCTCAGAGGTTTTCAACAAACCCGTGGGAAGTTTGGTCCAATTCTATTGTTGGTGGGGTTCAGAATGCACTATAAATCCCAGCACTTATAACTCCCAAATGTCAAGGTCTGTTTTCCCAAAACTCCACCAGTGTTCACATTTGGGCATATTGAGTATTCATGCCAAGTTTGATCCAGAGTCATCGTTTGAGTCCACAGTGGTCTCTGGACGTAGGTGAACTACAACTCCAAAACTCAAGGTCAATGCCTACCAAACCCTTCCAGTATTTTCTGTTGGTCATGGGAGTTCTGTGTGCCAAGTTTGGTTCAATTCTATCGTTGGTGGAGTTCAGAATGTGCTTTGATTGAAGGTGAACTATAAATCCCAGCAACTACAACTCCCAAATGACAAAATCAATCCCCCCACCAACCCCACCAGTATTCAAATTTGGGCGTATCGGGTATTTGTGCCAAATGTGGTCCAGTGAATGAAAATATTTATTTATTTATTTACAGCTTTTATATTCCGCCCTTCTCACCCCGCAGGGGACTCAGGGCGGATTACAGTGTACACATATATGGCAAACATTCAATGCCAATTTTTGACAAACAAACATATACAGACATACACAGAGGCTGTTTAACTTTTTCTGGCCGCCGGGGAGCTGTCGATCCTGCATATCAGATATTTACATTACGATTCATAACAGTAGCAAAATTACAGTTATGAAGGAGCAATGGAAATAATGTTATGGTTGGGGGTCACCACAACCTGAGGAACTATATTAAGGGGTCATGGCATTAGGAAGGTTGATAAATACTGCTGTAGAATGAATACACTTAGAGTTTAATAGGAGCTTCAGGCACTTCTGAAAAAGCTTCCCTGTCTCCCAGGAGCCTGGTTTGCTTTTTCTCCCAGGGCTTCTGCAGCTTTGCAAGAGCCCTGAAAGTTAACAGTATCAGAGTCTGCAAAGCCAGTCTGCAGCCCTCCTTTGCAGCTATTGGTTCAGAAAGGTATCTCTTTGGGTCTAGGGACCGCCTTTTCTCCCAGGGAAGAGATCTCCATTTTGGAATCTCCCCTGGCTTTTCAGTTTAGAGGAAAGACCTCAGACGTGCTGATGGTTAGGCAGGTAGCTCTGGGAAAACCATTGCAAAAACTATACATTATATATTGAGTGTTAAGCTATACATTATATATTGTGTATTGTATATTAAGATATATTAAGTTAATATAGATAGTATATTGTGTATTGAGCTACATAGAGAAATTATAGATAAATAGAAAAGCTATTGAGAAAGTATTGAGTTTTGAGTTTATTGAGAAAGAACTATTGAGTTAGTTAGATAGTATTGAGCATTTGCCTCCAAAGCTAACTTTGAACAATAGGGAAAAAAACCTACTTTTTTCTGACCATTGGAGCTCAAAGTTAGCTTAAGGGATTCCAGAATTCCTTTTACTTTTTGGAGGAAAGGAAAACTCATCTCTATGCTTTACCAATTGACTGTTTGTAACTTTGATGAACTGTGCCAAGTCTGCAAGGACTTTGTGTAAATAAATATCCTTTTTTGATGTTTAAAACCAGCAATAGCCTCGGTTGCTGAGTATCTCAAGCTTCTCAAGAAGGACACCTGCAGTTCGCTCAGACATAGAGAGAAGCACGTCGCAGTTTTATTTTTTATAGCGTCTGGGTGGACGGCACATTCCCCTTTTTCTTTGGCTCAGCAATAAGATTACCATAAGCAAACCTAATGTGCATCCTAATTTTGGAAAAGTACTTTAGTCCAAAAAAGATGAGCATTAGATTTGAGGAAATACAGTAACATAGGAAGGGGATGCCGGAAGTTGTAATTTCTCAAGATGTGTGGGATGATAGAGAGTTCAAGAAAGGTAAACAAAAGAAAGAACTGAATCTGTAAGACCTGAGCAGGGCTGTTGAGGATAGAGTGACTTGAAGGTATCCCATTCATGGGGTCACCATAATCACAGTAGTCAGCAACAATTAACAATCAAGAAAAGAAGAATAAGAAAAGTCTGGAGAATTAAAAAGTCATTGTTGGATAGGACTGAAATATCGGCCCCAGTTGAAGATGACTTATCTAAAGGAACAGTTGAGGAACGAGTTGTTTTTGCATTTTGACATTGTATGCCTTCAAGTCATTTCCGACCCTTAGATGAACCTATCATGGCATTTTCTTGGCAAGATTTGTTCAGAGAGAGTTTTCCTTTGCCTTCCTCTAAGGCTGAGAGAGTGTGGCTTGCCCAAAGCCCCCCAGTAAGATTCCAAAGAAGAGCAGGAAATCGAACCCTGATCTCCAGAGTCATAGTCCAATGCTCAAGCTACTATACCCCACCAACTCTCTACGTATAACCATATAATGTATGATTTGTTGTTGTACAGCAGCCACCAGAGGCTTATGGTTTAAGTAATG